GTTAGAGAGAGGGAAGGTAGAGAGGCTTAATTTCCCTTAGCTCAAAATAATTCTGTTAAAGAGAATATTTTAGGATGGTTTTCTTTACCATTTTAGGCATGTGAACTATAATGACTACTATTGCTTGTGGTTTTTATCATTTGCTGTTGCCTCATGGGGCTGCAGTGTTGGAAGTGGTGTGGGATGAGGGAAAGATTACTCAAAGTCGGGCCTCTCTGTTGGTGCAAGGGGTTAAGTCTCAGCACTTTGAAGCTATCCATAGCCACGGCACCATGAGTTTGATCCCCAGCCAGGGAGCTGACCCACATGGCACAACAGACCTCTCCTATCTCACCCGCTGCTCCTCTCAGTAGTGTGTTTCACTTGGTTCGCCTGTTCTGCTTCCCACTCTGTCTCTGGTGAATCCTCTTACCCCCTCAGCTCTGGCCTATACCCCAGTTCTTGTATGCATAAATAAATAAAATAAATCTTTAAAAAAAAAAAGATTACTCAAAGTCCATGTGGAGCAATGAGAAGCCTAGAGGGTCTACACCAGAAGTAATGTGCAGCCCTATCCAAAGGCAGTCTCCACTGAGCACAAAGGTGGGAAAATCATGTAGGGAATGTACATGCATGGGTGATGGGATCAGGGATGTAAGGTAGGGTGGAATGACCAAGGGCTATTGCCTGGGGGCTCCAATATGCCTGCCAGTCTAAACATATTATCTCTATTCTAATACCTGCCCACTGTATTCAGCAGATACTGATTTCCCAGTATATTCCTCATACCAGGACATTTGCCCTTGGTGAGAGGGCCCCTGCATCTCGCTGATAAGCAGGAATTCTGGGCACCAAGACCATATTCCCAAGAAAAAGGTGGGGCTGGGGCCTCTACAATTTGCATTGACTGCTGCAGTATATATAAAAGGAAATACATATATACTGTTATGACTCATAAGTAACCCATGGTTAAAATATGAGTACATGTAGAAACAGTAGCCAGTAATAGTTAAATTAATAACATTTTGATTTTAGAGAAACATAATTTCTGTGTTGTGCTGAGGTAGGTGGCATGCAGTAAAAATAAATTTTTTATTCCTTTAGATAGGCATTCATACTTTTGAATACTACCCCCAAAATACTTCCATTATTGAATAAGGAATATGATTAAAGAGTTCATCTTCTTAAGTATTATTGTTTGTAAAAAATGTAGTTGTTGAGCAGTTATCTAGCAAAAACACCAACACTAATAAGTACAAAACCCATAGCAATACAGCTGTTGCTATTGGAACTTAGAGAGGGTGACTCCAACAGAGTCTTCTCAGATATTTCATTGGTGTCTTAAAGGCCTGGAATGCTACCTAAACACCCACTCCATTACAGCTGTTTAGAAATTACTTAAATACAGATTCTGAAGCTGAAGATAAGTCAGTTTGTGAGTAGAAAGTACATATAGTAATAGGAAGCAACATGCAGATTCTTTAAAGGGCATGGTTATATGAGCAGAAGCAGACTTTGGAGCCAGATATTTCTTGGTTTGTACTCAACTTCTCATTATAATTGTGGGCCTGGTGAATACTTTAATATCTTAGAGTCGCAAAGTTTTCATTTATAAAATTAGAGTATTGTCTACCATAACACATTATAAGGACTTAAAATAATTAAAATAAGTAGCGCTTAATTAGTATTGTTAATCTCAGTGCTTTTGCTTAGTTTAGTATTTTCTGACAATATTTCCCAAAATGTTTATTAGAGGATGCAAGCTCAAACCCAGTTGAAGATTCTGAAGACAATCTGCTGATTGAATCAGATGTGATAGATATAACTAAATATGGAGAAAAAACTCCACCAGGGGGCAGATGTTATAACCAAGCAACAACATTGGATAATCAGAGTATTAGAAAGGAGTTGGCAATTCAAACACAAAAACCCCAACAGGAAATGTCTCCAGCATATCAGAACCAGCAAGTCTTTTGTGATAAAGAGTTACCAAGTGAAATCAAGAATTCTTCATTTGATTGTCAAAAGAAATTCAATAAAGGGAATGTGTTTTTATTGGATGCCACAAAAGAAGGAAATGTGGGCCGCTTCCTTAATGTGAGTAGATGGGCTGATTTTTTTTTTTTTTTTGAGTGATTTAGTGGTTTCATGTAGAAAACAGTACATTTATCAGAATGTTGTGTTTTGTTATTTTACTCCCTTTTTTAAATTCCCAAATCACAGTTATTTTTTGTTTATGTGAATGCTTGGAATATATTTAATGAGATTCATTTTCAGTGATAAAGAGAAATATTTATGATTCCTCTGATTGTAAGGTTAACTGGCACTTATGACTCCTGTTATCCTCTCATCCCCCACACCTCTGGCCTATACCTCGGTTCTTATATTATTATTTTTTTTTTTAATTTTTTTTTTTAATAGAGGCATGTTTTATTTATTTATTTTATTTGTTTGTTTGTTTTGTTTTTACATGCACTGGGTACAGTCAGAAGCATGGGAGGGTGAGAGAATTCACCAGAGCCAGAGTGGGGAGCAGAGCAGGCAGAAGGACCGAAGTACACTGCTGAGGGGAGCAGCGGGCGGCAGGAGAGGTCTGCACGCCATGTGGGACCCTCCTCCGGTGGCCGGGAAGCAGCCGGGGATCGAACCGGCGCCACAGAGGCCGCGGGCAGCTTCGCAACCCAGCGCTCAACCGCTGTGCCACCGGGGAGGCCCTACCTCGGTTCTTGTATACATAAATAAATCTTTTTTTTTAAAAAAGACACACAAAATACATACAACCAGATTTCTGTTTCATGAAAGTGCTGAGCCTTCTAAGTAGACACCATGAGTAAAGCTCACCGGCCCACTTTGAAAAAAATGTATGGACAGGAAGTCATTGAAATTAAATGTCCAAGGAATATTTTGGGTATTTGATCCCTTTATGTGTGGCAATAGAGGAACATGTGGAAATGGCAGTTAGTGGGCAACTAAATAATACTGAAATGATGTTAATAGGAAATAACATCAGCATGTTAGAAACTTCCAGACAAGAGTAAAGATTGGTTGTGTTTAGCAGAGAAGACAGTTGCTACCCACGTCTCCTTTCCAAAGGGCTTATTTAACTATGATATATAACTCAGGTCTTATGCATCTTCATATTCAAACATTTTTGTTTTGTTAAAAAAAAAAAAAACTTGAGAAATACTATGCTTCCGTTCACTTTGTCCCCATATCACTTCATTTTCGTAAAATTATTTTAATAAAAATAGTAGCTTTAATAATAAACAGTAATAACTTTTGTGTGTATTCTTAAAGTTTTATATGTATATCTTTAGGCAGATATAAGTAAATATAAATATGTACTCCTATTTCTCCCCCTTTCTTACATAAAAATAAAATAGCATGTAACATTCACTGTCCTACCTCTTGTTTTCTTTTTTTTTTTTAAGATTCATTCACTCATTTACACAAGAACCAGGGTACAGGCCAGATGCGCGGGAGGGTGAGAGGATTCACCAGAGACAGAGTGGGGAACAGAACAGGCAGACTGATGAAATACACTGCTGAGGGGAGCAGCCAGCGAGACAGGAGAGGTCTGGTGCGCCATGTGGGACTGTCGCCGGCTGGCCCCTGGGATCAAACCCATGCTGCAGAGGCTGCGGACAGCCCCACAGCGTGGCGCTCAACCGCCTCCGCCCCCAGGGGAGGCCCCCTCTTGTTTTCTTAATTGACAATATACCCTGGATTTCTTTTCCATATCAAACACAGACCTCCCTATTCTTTTTGTTTGTTTTTATCTGTAATTGTATAGAATTCCATTGGATGGATATACCAAATATCTGTTCCCCTCAGACAGACATCTGGTTATTTCCGAATTTTTCTCATGAAAGTACTCAGTGAATATCCTTATATATAGACACATGTATAGAAGTAGCTGTAGATTACATTTCTAGATTTGGAATTGCTGAATGAAAGGAAATTGCATTTATGATAATGGTAAATATTGGTCAATTATATTCTGCTGATATTTATACCATTTTGCATTTCTATCAGCAAGATACGAGTGTCAGGAGCTTTTCTGAATGGGTTCCCTCTAGAAACAGAATTATAATGAGTTAATGTATTTTACATGTTAGTCAACAAAAAGTAAAGAAACAACAGTGAGATGTGTTTGAAACAGTATGGTATTCTAATGCTTAAGAAACCAAAGCATCAAACTTTATGCAATATCTAACCTGTTTGATTTTTTTTTTAACAGCATAGTTGTTGCCCAAATCTTTTGGTGCAAAACGTTTTTGTAGAAACACATGACAGAAATTTTCCATTGGTGGCATTCTTCACTAACAGGTTTGAATTTTTGTTACTATGATTTAATTTTGAAAATCACTTTTAAAAAAGGAAAATATTAAAAAGAAGATATGTGCTGTATCCCCTAACATCAGGTACCCTATAATATTCAGTTATACCAAGTTCTCTCTAATCAATAAGATTTTAAACAGCTGAGATTTCAGTTATTTCCTCTGAGAGCTGGTGCATAAAAGGGATTAAGATGGCAAGTCTCACCCAGTTCAATTCAGGGAGTAAATGACCCCCAGAATGCTACTTCTTTAAGTCAGAACTATACCCACCTGCCACAGTGCAAGCCTCGTTACCTCTCAGGGTTCCACTGTTCACAAAACACACTTCTTTCCTCATGAATATTGACAAGTTTTTTCTTTGGTTTTAGTAGATTTGAAATAAAGCACAAATGGCTATTCTTAAAGGGTATTCCTAGTTGGTGGGTGTTAGGAAAAGAGAATAAAAGTATTGTTGAGGATGGCTAATGATGTTAATATGAAAACTGATATAATAAAGTTGTGCTCATTTGGTAGTTACTCAGTAATTTTTTATTATTTTTAAAATTTCTATTTTCTAGGTATGTGAAAGCAAGAACAGAACTAACATGGGATTATGGTTATGAAGCTGGGACTGTGCCCGAGAAAGAAATTCTCTGCCAATGTGGAGTTAATAAGTGTAGGAAAAAAATATTATAAATTTGTAGCTAATACCTGTTCATAAAATTAGCTTATCAAGCTGAAATTAGCACTATGCAAAAGAACCTTCAGTCATCAGTGGAGTTAATTTAGGTCGTGATCCACCAAGAGAACTCCACTCAGTTTACCCTCATTTCGGGAGGGAGGGGGGGTTCATTTGTGTGACTTAGAAATGCTGGGGACAAAATAAGAACATTTTCATATGGGTATCCTTTATTAGGGTGTCTCTTTATCCTTACTGCTGTTTAACTTTACGTGAATTGGATGGAAGTGTATATTTTATATGAAAATACCATTATACAATTTGTAACTTATTTGTATATTATATATTAAGAGAAACAGTTGTCACAGTATAATTCAGTTCTTAATTGCTTTTGTGATTATCTTTAAGTTCATACTCTCAAAGGGCCAAATTTCACATCTTTATTACAAAGTTTGTTTAATTCTTGGCAAAATAATTTACCATTATGAGTCCATATAGTGGGATACAGAGTTTGAAGAATATGTAAAAACTGACTTTATGCTTATTACTTCCAAGAAATTTAACAGTACTTGGAGAAACCATGTCTGGCTCCAAGAAGCACTGTCCCATGAAACCATTTGAGAGGTTTTGGCAACTCTTTAAAGTGAAAACTTTTCCATAGCATCTCTTTATTCCTGCAATGTAAACACAGACAAGAAAAAGGGACGAGAAACCTGGAGGAATTAGAATTTTTTTTTTGTTTATTTAGTCCAGAAGGGGATTGTACTGGTCAAGAATTTCACTTATAAAAACAAAAACAAGCAATTCTTATTTTTTTTTTAAACAATTTATATATTTATACAAGCACTGGGTACAGTCAGAAGTGCGGGCGGGTGAGAGAATTCACCAGAGCCAGAGCTGGGAACAGAACAGGCAGACTGATGAAATACACTGCTAAGGGGAGCAGCGGGGCGGCAGAAGAGGTCTGCTGCGCCATGTGGGACCCTCGCCGGTGGCCCAGGATTGAACTGGCACTACAGAGGCTGCGGGCAGCTTCACACCCAGTGCTCAACCGCTGCGCTACCAGGGGAGGGAGGCCCCAAACCAAGCAATTCTAGCTAAGCTACAAAGTCAGAAACAGTCCCTTGGACTCTCCTAGACATGATATGCAGTGTTTTAGAGAAAAAGGGAAAGAGTTACTTTACTATGGTTACCTACTCCTGATCATCTAATGGAAAAGGGACATTTTTTTTCCAAACTTCCAAGTCAAAACTAATTTTATCCATAATAAGATGTACATCTAGTTACCAGGAGCTTCCCTCTGGGAACCAGAGCACTTGCTTAAAAGGGAGTAATTAAAATTAGTTCTGGCTTGGGAGAGGTTATATGGTAGGCTTTTTTATTCCTGAGCTTGATTCTGGGTTGTTACCTTTCAAACAAAAATATATTCTAAGATTAGACGTAATTTAATTTATTTGAAATATTGAACTAAATAAAATTTAACTTGAAATTATTTTGGAGAGTTGGAAACCAAGGAACTAGAAAAAGGTACAAAAGATTATAACCTAACAGCTTGCAGACAGAGAGAAAGTCGAAAACTTCTCTGAGAAGATTCATAGTAAAGATAGAGGAATTTTAGGCTGTGCGCTAACATTTGATCAGTATGGAATATAATTTTGGGCAGAAATCCTGACATCTTGATCTGTTTTAATCTGTGCTGGTTCACAGTTAGCATCTTTCCTCTGTCCTGGAGATTCCTTGTTTTTCTGTTTTACATTTGTTCCACTTAAATCCCACTATTTCTCTTTTCCCAGGTTTAAAGCACATTCTCCAATAGCTTTTGTAAAGAAAAAAATGAGGCAAATTTTTTGAGGCCTCGCATGTTTGAAGATGTTATTTTACCCTTATTCTTGATTGCCATTTTGGTAGGGTATAGACTTCTTAAGAAACTTTCATGGCCATTTTGAAGGCATCTGCCTACCTCAAGGTTGCTGCTGAGAAGTCTGAAAATGTTCTTCCTTCTGGTTTCCAGGATGACTGTTGGAAGTCAGATGTGAATTCTGTTTCTTATCTTTCATTTATATGATCTTTTTTTTTTTAATGATTTATTTATTTATACAAGCACTGGGTACAGTCAGAAGCGCGGGAGGGTGAGAGAATTCACCAGAGCCAGAGCAGGGAGCAGAGCAGGCAGAAGGACCGAAGTACACTGCTGAGGGGAGCAGCAGGCGGCAGGAGAGGTCTGCGCACTGGGGATCGAACCGACGCTGCAGAGGCTGCAGGCAGCTTTGCAACCCAGCGCTCAACCGCTGCACCACTGGGGAGGCCCATGATCATTTTTTTATCTCTTCAAGTTTACAGCATTATCTTTGCTCCAGTATTATTCCTAGTAAGGTTCCAATTTTTAAGCACTTGTACTCAGTACTTGATAGGATCTTTCAATCTGAAAACTGTCAGTTCAGGAAAATTTTCTTGACTGTTTCTTTAATAATTATGTGTTCTCTTTCTAGAATTCTCTTATACAGATGTTAGACCCCCAGAATTGGTTCTCTGATTTTCTTATATTTTTCACTTCCAGTTCCATCTTGCTTTACTTCCTGGGAGATATCCTCAACTTAATCTTCCAGTTTGTCTATTGTGCTTTATTTTTCTGGTCTCATATTTTTAATTTCTAGACCCCTCTTTTCTGTGTATTCCTTAATTAGCATCCGCTTTTTGGTTCATGGTTGCATCCTCTCTCTTCAAAAATACTACTTATGCACCCACATATACCTGCATGCATTCATAGCTATGTTTTCTTTTTCCCGCATTTTCTGTGCTCTCCGCAAAAGTTTTTCTTTGCTTTCTTCATGTTTTTTATTGGTTTTTTTTTTCTTTTTTTTTGATCATAGACTTTCCTCCGTGATCTTGACTGTCTATTCATACTTAAGAGTGGAATACTAAAAAAAATGAAAGGATAAACAATGGGGAAAGAGGCTCATCAACTGCTTCACCATGACCTAGCTAATCTATTAAATTTCAGTCTTTTTAAAACTTTCTCTTTGACCTGCCAAGGAATACTCTTCTATTCTGATTGAAGGGCAAAAATCTTGACTGCCAGAGACTATTCTTTTCCTTTTGCAGTTCCATAAGTCTTGCTTTTGTAATCCATTTCTTTATTTGTTAAGACTATTTAAGTTGACCTTTTTTTTTCAAAAGATGTATTTATTTTTTTATTTATACAATAGCTGGGGTACAGGCCAGAGGCTCAGGAGGGTGAGAGGATTCACCAGAGACAGAGCGGGGTTGCCCTTTTTAATATTGTTTGTTTTCTGCTGTCCCCAATTTGCCACCTTTCTGTTTTTAAATTTCAAAACACAAAATCTCTGTAAGGTTTCCTTTGATCCTTTCCCCGGCAAGCCACCATTATATGCTGCTTTTCTAGGACATATTTTTAACTGTAATTTAATTAAATGCATTTATATTTGTTACATGCACTGAAAACCTCGTCTTTTATGGTGCTGTGTACCCCATGGGTGCTAAATAAAAGCTTGTGACTGGCAACTGGAATTACATTTGGTTAATTCTGTGTCTGTCTTGTCATACACATCCTTCCCAAGCTGATAAAAATTTTTAGAAGAAACTGGTAAACCTTTCAGAAAAACAGTCATTTCTCAAGCTGTACCCAGTTGTGATGACCACCTTTCCTCTGATTACTAGAAGAAAACGGGGCAGAGTGAGGAGCCCCTGGAGTATTTTATTTAAAACAAAAAGCAAAGTCAGACTCGAATGTGCAGAAGGCACGCCCTCCAGTTTGAGAACCTCACCTACAAACTCGGAGTTTCTCTTCTCTTCGGGGACTTCCCTTAAATGATTTCATGAAAACGAAACTGCTGGTAAACGAAACTGCTGGCGAACTTCCTTCCGGAAGGCGGGGTGGCAGTCGGTTGTCCGCGGAGCAGCCATGGAGCCCGAGCCCCCTTCCCTGTCCGAGCCGGCCTGCGGCGCTAGCCGGCCGCCCGTGGAGGGCCTGCGGGTCTCGCTCCCCACTCCAACCGGTGAGCGCCTGGAGGGAGGCGGGCGAGGCGGGGCCGGGCGAGGCTGCGGGGCATGGGGTGGGGGCGGCATTGTTGTGTAAGAAGTTGGGGCCCTTGGCCTGCTCTCGGATTGCAGCTGCTTGGGAATGCAACCTACAAAGCCTCTGAGGCAAAGCAGGCGAACTGGGCTCAGCGGGCTCGTAATCCCCGTTCACCTATAGCGGCCGGGCCTTAGACTGCAGTTCCGCAGTTTCAGCGCACAAGACCACTGCCCACGCCCTCACGAGGGTAGTGAGTCTGACTTCCACTTACCTCTCCCACTGCTCAGGGTATTGATACTGTCCCATTTCATTAGAATGTAGTAAAATCCAGTGGGTTTACTCTCCAAAAGTGGCACCACCCACCCATAGAACAGTGCAGTTGTAGAAGTGCCAGAGGAGAGGGAGGCAGGACCTTGAAGGTAAGTACTGGGTCTCAGGTCACAGTTTGGAAAGTTTCCACAGAGAATATTTTAGAACCATCCCTTCCTCTCTAATTAGTAATTCAAGTACTTAGCAGCCCTTTCCATGAGTAATGGTTTATTGAATGGGCTCGCCCTTCACTAATCATACTCCTACCATGTGCCAGGCTCAGGGCTATGTCCTAGGGATACAGATGAGTTAGTCTGACCCTGCCCTAGAGAATCCAACAGACAACTTGCATGTTGCCTGCTAAGTACCAAAGAGGCACAAATGAGGGACTCCTAACTCAGCCTGTATTCAGATAAAGCTTTATTTATTTCAAGCTTGCAGTATCTTAGTTTCACGGGCAAGAGTAGACCAAAGGTGGAAAGAGTATCTCAGACAGGTTAATATACCAAAAAGCCACCAGGTCACATGTGACCACAAGCCAAGCAGTTGAATATTTTACTCAGTTGTTATATATATGGAGTGTTTTATGGGTGGGTGGTGCCACTTTTGGAGAGTAAACCCACTGGATTTTACTGTATTCTAATGAAGTGGGACAGTATCAATGGGCATGAGCAGTGGGAGAGGTAAGTGGAAGACAGAAACCAACTTCATTAATGCTGGAATGACCTCTAATTGAACATTTCCCAAAGAGAACTTTCCCCACATACCCATACACTCCAAACCCACTCGACCAGAAGCCTTCCCTATCCCATTCATTTAATATGGTGGGGAGCTACCCACATGGCACAGCAGACCTCTCCTGACTCACCTGCTGCTCCCCTCAGCATTGTATTTCAGTCAATCCGGCTGTTTCGTTCTCCACTCTGTCTCTGGTGAATCCTCTTACCCTCCACACCTCTAGCCTGTACCTCAGTTCTTGTGTGTATAAGTATCCCATTCATTCACTTGCTCAGACCAAAAACTTAGTAGTGCCCTCAGTGCCTCTCTTTCCTTCTCACCTCCCATCTAATGCATTAGCCAGACTTGTCTTCAGAATATAACTTGAGCCTCATCACTACCATCCAAATCCACGCCACCATCATTTCCTGCCTGGACTGGCTGTCTCCTGGCTTCTACTCTTAGACTCTTCTACAAGTAGGTCTGCATAGCACACAATACATTGATTTTCAAAGATACAGTGCAAAGAATAAATTAACAGTTTTTAATACTATGCAAATGTTGATAGGATATTTGAGATATGTTTGGTTGAATAGAACATATTGCTAAAACTAATTTCACCTCTTTTTGCCTTTTTTTATGAGGTTCCTAGCAACATTTCAGCTTCACCTGTGGTTCACTTTTGTGGCTCCCTTTCTGTTTCTGTGCAGCAGTGCTGATCTCAAGCACCCAGTACAGTGACTCGCATACAAGAAATGCTTCTAAATCAGTTGTTGCTTGAAATGAATGAAAAGCAGCTATCCCATTTCGTGTCCTCTCAGGGGTTTGCTCTTAGTCTCTCCACTTTTTCTTGGTTGGTAAGGAGCAGGGAGACTAGTACTTGTTTGTATCTCCACTAGGTGGGACCCAAATCCAGGAAATAGAAATAAAGAAACTTCTGAATGTGAGGCAAATGTTAGCCTCACAGTGCAGTCTTCTGACTTTGTGAACTGCCAGCTCTAGCCAGAGAGGCGCACCAAGAGCTCTTACACTGTAGAACAAGGACTCAAGGAACTATTTAAGTGATAAACTAAACTAAACTAAATTTAAAACTTATACCATTAAATAGTAAAATAAGTCAGTTTCAAAGCTAATTTGAAGATTAAAAGGGTTTCTACTACAGTAAACAAAATGAATAAGCAGAGGAGCATTAGACAGGGCAAAGAAATGTTAAATGTATGCTTGTGGCCAAATGAATAGCAAACTAAAAGGTCAGAGAAGGTTTCACTGACAGGCCTGGTAAGATGTTGATATTGGGAGCATCTGGCTCTTTTCTCCCTGCCTCATTTCTTCTTTTTTTCCTCTTGCTCTTCTTAGGTTTTTTCCCAACATTTTTCTCTTTTAAGAAAAATTCTATTTCCTACCTTCATTTTAATGCTAGATTAAAGCACATTTAAATTGTAGATTGCTCATTTACTCCTTTAATTTGCCCAAAATTTATATATCTAATTAAAGTATGACATAGTGATCTAAAATTTTTTACAGATAACCAGAGCGCTTTTTTTTTAATACACCACTGTTTTCTTGTCAATTTCTAATAACAGTAGTAGTTATCATTGCTGAGAACTTATAATATAAAAGGCATTGTTCTGTGAGCTTAGTAGTTAAATTCCTTTTTGTGTTTCTTAAAGGTTTTCCTCATGTTTAGGCATATAGCTAAATTCATTCATTCATTTATTTTATAAGTCATTAAAAAATATAAAGGAAGTTGCTTATTTTACTTCAGTCCCAGTTTTTTTTTTTCTCCCTGAGAGTTTAGAATCTCATAAAAGCAAGTATCCTGCTGTGTACTTTAAGATTGGTGGAGGAATTACGGAGGCTAAAAAATTCCACTCTTCATTTCTCACCAGGGCTGTTACTTATAGGTCTTTTTCAGGTTGCAGAAAAGATGGAGAGAAGGACATGTGCACTCTGCCCCAAAGACCTCGAATACAGTGTCCTGTATTTTGCACAATCAGGGAATATAGCTGCTCATGAAAATTGTTTGGTAAGTTTCCTGAAAATACATGAATTCTTTTAGGGAAGGACAGACCAATACACGTAAATGCTACTTTGGATTCAACAAATGACAATTTGGCTATGCTTGGGCTTTTAAGTAGGGAATACATTTTTCTAACTTTTTAAAAACTTTCAGTTTTTTAAACTTAAGTTATCACCTTATGAATCTTTTTAATTTTATTTATAACTGATCAAATGCACAAAGAATTATGATGAAACTTGTTTGAGGATATTTTGAGGAAATAGTTCCAATGTAACAGATACCCATAGATATTTCACACAGATTTATAAAATTATGATCTTTGCTTAAGCTTGATTTTTTTTTAAAGATTTTATTTATACATACAAGAACTGGGGTACAGGCCAGAGGTGCAGGGGGGAGGTGAGAGGATTCACCAGAGACAGAGTGGGGAACAGAACAGATGAATTGACTGAAATACACTGCTGAGGGGAGCAGCAGGCGAGTCTGGAGAGATCTGCTGCACCATGTGGGTTAGCTCCCTGGCCTGCTGGGAGCTCCACGAGGGAGGCCCCAAGCTTGATTTTTTTTTTAAAGAAATAAAACAAATTTAGTTAAGGACTCTCTACTCTCTGTTCTGCATTCTCCATCTCTCCCCAGAGGTAATCACCATAACAAATTGGTGTTTCTTGTTATCTTGTGTTTTTAATTTTATGTTCCCATTACATATATCTAAGTATTTATAAACAAGGAAAGATTTTATATGCTCTTTGACTTTATAGACTTTATCAAATTCTATGGCTTATTGAGATTCATCTGTGTTGAGAAATGTAGCTCTAAATCTTCAATTTTAAATGTTATATGTAGTATTATATTTCATGACCATATCACTATTAACCTATTTTCCTGTGAATATGCATTTAGGCATTTCCATTCTTTTTATATGACTAACCAGCTGTCATGAACATCTTTGTATAGGACTGCTAATTCACAGGAGAATTTCTCTAGTGTAGGGCACAAAGCTAACATAAAACATGTCTTCCTCTTCTATGAGTTGTCTTCATGGCTTACACTTTATCTTTGAGATGTTGGCTTTGCTTCTATGGATTTATATACAAATAGATTCTAATGCTTTGTTATGTACATTGGCTTTTAATTTTATTTATGGTGTTTTCTGTCAGACAGAAAAGTGTGTATATAAATTCATCATGATATTCCTTTATAATTTGTGGAATTCCCCCTTCCCCAGGGATTCTTTTCTATATTAAAGTTTTATCTTTTTTCTCAAATTTTTAAAAATTTGCTTTTATTCATTTAGTTTCTTAATACAACTGAAATTTATTGGGGCTACTTTTTTATTCAAGTGCTTAACTACTTTTCCTGGCACTATTTACTTATCCTTTCCTCACTGATTTATAATGATAAAAATCATCATTATTATTCTTCATTGTTTGCTTGCTATCAATAAAGGTAATGTTCCCAGAGCTTAATTTATATTAAACTGCTAATCCTCACATCAGCCCTGGAAGTAGGTATTGTTATTATGCCCAAACTGAAACAACTGGGGCACAGGGAAATTAAGTCACTTGCCCAGGGTCACGTGATTGGTTGTAAGTGGCTAAGCCAGGATTCTTATCAAAGCCGTCTAGTGCTAGAAGCCCCATGCTTATCCAGTGTGCTAACAACATACTGTATCATGGGTATACAGATCTGTTTCTCGCTCTCTATTCTATTCCATTGGTCACTTTGTGTATCCCTGAGCTAGTACAACAGTGTATTAATTACTATGATTATATGGTAAGCCTACGATATAGTTTTTGCTGTTTTTAATTTTAGAATCAACCTAGCAGGTTTTAATTCCTATTGGAATTTTCAGTTCCACTGGAATTGCATTGCATTTATGGTTGAGTTTGGGGGGAAATGGTATACAAGACTTTGTATCCATTAATAGGGTCTGTTTCTCCAATTATTCATGCCTATCTTTATGAATTTTAAAAATGTTCAATAATTTTTTTCTATAGAAATCTCAAACTTTGGGTTAAGCTTCTTCCTGGGTTTATTTGCCTTGCTACTTTTTCCTAATACCCTTTTTATTTATTTTTTTTTTTAAGAGGCATGTATTTTTATTTATGATTTATTTATTTGTTTGTTTGTTTTGTTTATACATGCACTGGGTACAGTCAGAAGCGCGGGAGGGTGAGAGAATTCACCAGAGCCAGAGCAGGGAGCAGAGCAGGCAGAAGGACCGAAGTACACTGCTGAGGGGAGCAGCGGGCGGCAGGAGAGGTCTGCGCGCCATGTGGGACCCTCCTCTGGTGGCCGGGGAGCAGCCGGGGATCGAACCGGCGCCGCAGAGGCCGCGGGCAGCTTCGCAACCCAGCGCACAACCGCTGCGCCACCGGGGAGGCCCCTAATACCCTTTTTAATATGAGGTATTATGAGGAATGTAATCTTTAATATTTACATATTGGTATATGCAAATACTATAGTTTTTTTATTTATTCATCTTATCTAACATTCTTGCCAAACGCATAGTTCTAAAAGTCTTTAAGGTCATTTGGGTATTTTATTTGGCCCATCCTCATCTATTAATGAAGACTATTTTTTTTTAATTTTTGGAATTGTTAATTTTTTTTAAAGATATATTTATTTATGCATACAAGAACTGGGGTATAGGCCAGAAGTGGGGGAGGGAGGGCAACAGTGAGAGGATTCACCAGGGATAGAACGGGGAGCTGAACAGGTGGATCTACTGAAATACACTGCTGAGGGGAGCAGCGGGTGAGACAGGAGAGGTCTGCTGTGCCATGTGGGTTAGCTCCCTGGCTGGGGATCGAACTACTGCTGCAGTGGCTGCCAATAGCTTCATAGCAATGAGACTTAACCCTTTGCACCACCAGGGAGGCCCCAGAATTCTTAATTTTTTTAATTTTATTGCACTTTTCTAAAACATTCTATTTTAGTGGCGATTAGAAGCATTTAAAGGAAGCCTTGCCTTGTTTCTTATATGAATGTGATGCTTCTAAAGTATTAATATTTTTCAATACTTTCACTTTATTAAAATAAGGATGTTTCTTTCACTTCTAGTTTTCTAAAAGTTAGAGTATTTTTTTTAAAGACTTACTTATTTTGGACCTCCCTGGTGGCGCAAGGGATTAAGCACAGTGGTTAACCCTGCAGCAGCCTCTGCAGCACAAGTTTGTTCCCCCGCTGGCCAGGGAGCTCCTCCATGGTGCGGCAGACCTCTCCTGACTCATCCACTGCTCCCTTCAGCAATGTTTTCAGTCAGTCTGCCTGTTCTGTTCCCCACTCTGTCTGTAGTGAATCCTCTCACCCCCCGCATCTCTGGCCTATACCCTAGATCTTGTATATATAAATAAATACATATTTTTTAAAAATCTTAAAAAAAAACATTTATTTATTTATACAAGAACTGGGGAACAGGCCATAGGCGGGGAGCAGAACAGGCAGACCAACTGAAAACACTGCAGAGAGGAGCAGCGGGCGTGGGTATCTCCCTGGCCAGCCAGGAATCGAAACCACACTGCAGAGGCTGCGGACAGCTTCACAGCTGCAGACAGCTTCACAGCTTCACAGCGCTGCACTCAACCCGCTGCGGCACCAGAGAGGCCCAAGTTAGAGTATTGTTAACATCACAAAATTTTTCTTTTTTGTTTTTCATGGCGTTTGAAATTTGAGTATATACGTAATGTCAATCTTCAGTTCTAAAATAGGTTTAATTTTTTGGGTTTCAAGTAACACATAGATATTTGGGGCAACCTAAATATAAGGGCTTTTATAAGGTTGTAGGGGTATTTCATGGCTCTTGAAGGCAGGCATGCAGGCAGGGCTAAAAAGCAGGAGCTAGAAAGTGGTCAGGAACCCAGGATGTCCTCTCCAGATGCCTCATTTTTGTTTTTTTCTCTTTGCAGATTGTCCTGATCATTGGCTTATATCCTACTCCTTTCTCCCATGATAGGGAGTCCAGTTGTTCCGGCTGGAAGGCAGGGCCCCAGCCAAACCAATTTAGCAGTTCGGTGTCAGGGTTATGCATATAAACCATTTCTGGGGAACAGGGCCACTCGCAAAGGAAAGCAAAGATGGCTTGTGATCTGTTCACAGACCCCATTAGGTAGTCACTGCCACTCCTGGTATAGTTTTTGGTACCATTTTCTGACATTTCTGACATAGCTTTCAGTATAATTTTGTACACAATGTGGGTCTTGTTTTTTCCCTTTCTGCAGCTGTATTCTTCAGCACTTGTGGAATGTGAGGATCATGAGTCTCATAATGGTGATAGAAGTTTTGATGTGGAATCTGTAAAGAAAGAAATCTATAGAGGAAGGAAGTTGGTAAGTATAAACAATTTTATTACTCACACAAGATGAACAAACCCTCCGGGGATACTTTCAAAAGAAAGTCTATTTAAATCATAAACGAAGGATAAACATGCATCTTAGAGAGCTGAAGGAAGTAGGTCCTATATTAGGAACTTAGATGTGATGAACATTTAATATTTTAAACTATAACACTCTTTATCAGAAAAATAGATAAGACTTAGAATGCTTTTGGCTGTAAGTAGATGGTACCCTAACTCAAATTGGTTTTAACAAAAGGATGCTTATTTTCTCACTTAGCTAAAATAAACTGGGTACAAGTTTGTTTGACTCAATAGTTCAATGATACCATCAGGAGTCCATCATTCATTCATGCCCTCCTGTATACAACATTAGCCTTGTGGCTACAACATTATCTTGTGGTTATAGGGTGGCTTCAGGCAGCAACTGAAGTGTCAGGTTTTCTGGTTCTTATCTAGGGGAAGAGAAAGTTCATCCCCAAGCATGGAGTAAGAGCCCCTCTGAAAGTTTAATTTTGCCACCTCTCTCTTCCCAAACCAATTGCTAGAGCTGACCATAACTAATTAAGATCTTTCTTTGGAGCTGGGGGTCAGCTTGCCTGAGGAAAGAAGAATGCTAAGACACAATTGCCTTACTGTGTCCAATTCAGTAACTTCCTCTATGAAAAGCCCTTCACACTTAACATCCCATACAGCAAGTGTGAGCACGTAAAGCTATTACCACCACTAAGGCTAATGATTTGGAAGAAATATTTATTTAGTCCTTACAAGGTGTCAGCATATGGGTGAGCAGTTTCTGCACGACCTGACATGCTTTCAGAGGGGCCAGCACAGGGTAGTCAGCAAGCAGCCACCTCACCACAGTTGGAGCTCAGGAAGCCTTCCTAGTTGAGGAGAGAGGTAAAAATTAAGGTGAGGAAAGGGTAATTCCAGAGAAAGGGAACAGGATGTGGAAGAGTGTGGAAGACGAGAAAGACAATTGTAAGCACATGGTTCTTGATGGCATTTTCTTTTTTTAATAGAGGCATGTTTTATTTATTTATGTATTTGTTTGTTTGTTTGTTTTGTTTATACATGCACTGGGTACAGTCAGAAGCGCGGGAGGGTGAGAGAATTCACCAGAGCCAGAGCGGGGAGCAGAGCAGGCAGAAGGACCGAAGTACACTGCTGAGGGGAGCAGCGGGCGGCAGGAGAGGTCTGCGCGCCATGTGGGACCCTCCTCCGGTGGCCGGGGAGCAGCCGGGGATCGAACCTGCGCCGCACAGGCCGCGGGCAGCTTCGCAACCCAGCACTCAACTGCTGCGCCACTGGGGAGGCCCTTCTTATTTTTTTTTTAAAGATTTATTTATTTATACACAAAAGAACTGAGGTAGAGTCAGAGGTGCGGGAGGGTGAGAGAATTTACCAGAGACAGAGCAGGGAGCAGAACAGCTAAATAGACCGAAGACACTGCTGAGGGGAACAGCGGGCGAGACAGGAGGTCTGCCGTGCCATGTTGGGTTTCTCCCTGGCCAGCTGGGAATCGAACCCACGCTGCAGAGGCTATGGACAGCTTCACAGCACGGCACTCAATCCACTGCACCACCGGGGAGGCCCTTCGTGCCATTTTCTTTATTGAGAAAGTCCACATGGAATTCCACAGGATGTACCAGATTGCATGAAGCCTTTCCCTTATTAGAGCATGAGTTGACACTGTTGTTTTTTTTTTTTTAAAGATTTATTTATTTATGCATACAAGAGCTGGGGTGTAAGCCAGAGGTGGGGAGGGGTTGAGAAGATTCACCAGAGAAAGTGGGGAGTGGAACTTGCAGATGCACTGAAATACACTGCTGAGGGGAGCAGTGAGTGAGACAGGAGAGGTCTTCTGCACCATGTGGGTTGCTCCCTGGCTGCTGGGGATCGAACTCATGCTGTAGTGGGTGACAATAGCTTGATAGCATTGTCTTTAACCCCTGTGCCACCAGGGAGGCCTGACACTGGTCTTTTTACTATAACAACTAATAATGCCATAAACATGCTTTGTCCATATATCCTTGAGTACTTGTTTGAGTGTTGTGTAGAGCACATTCCTAGAAGTGGAACAACTGAGTCAACCACAATAACCTTTAAAAATTTTACGACATGCTAACAAACTGTCCCTCAGGAAGGTTGTACCACTTTATACTTCTGTACATAGTAAAACCAGGAAAGAGCACTTCTTCCAGCCCTTGACCAAAAAATGAATATCACAAATTAGTAAAATTTTTGCCAGTCTGACAGAAATTTTAACTAGCCTTTCTCTGGTCCCTGGAGAGCTTGAACATTTTTCTTATAGGCATCTCCCATTCTCCCAGCTCACCTGCCTCCAACAATTCATCAATAATCCTTTTGCGGTTTGTGGCCCCCACCTCGCAGCCATAGTCCAGCATTGCAGTCATTCTTTTGTAAACACTCTGAATTCCTGTCCCCACCACCCTCCAACTACTTCCTTATTTACATAGCAAAGACCCAACCCTGGTGAGTAGCATGGGCCCTTGAGCAACTGAACAACAGGAAAAACCCACAAATACAATACGTTCAGTGATCTTAGATTCATGACCACAGACTTCAAACTAACTCTTAACACTTCACCCTCCAGCCTCCACATTTTCTGTTTAACACCCTCACCTCCCTTTAAAATCTTCTCCCCACCCTAAGTTCACAATCCCAAATTGATGACAATTCCCATTTTTTTTCCAGCAATTTCAGTTTCATAGAAAAATGAAAGGTACTGAGATTTCCTGTGTGCCTTCTGACCCCCCATATGCACAGCCTCCCCTTTATCAGCATCCCCCACTGGAGTATACATTTGATACAACTGATGAACCCACAATGACACATCATCATCACCCAAAGTCCATAGTTTAGGGTTCACTCTTGGCCTTGTCTACTTCTTTGCCTGATTTTTACTGAGAAATGGAAGACATTAGATAGAAACTCCTATCCAAACCACCACTCACATCCTCTATCCCCAAACTCTTGGACGTCCCTACAGACATCCTTAGGGACCCTTCCTTAGGGACTCTTGCATTTCCCTTCAGCCCCTTTCTACAAGATATTTCCTTCAGCATATAAACACCATCAACTAATCATATCACCTTTAAAAAAAAAAACAAAACACCTCCTTTATACACAAAAACAGTTCAATTACAAGGTCACTTCACTGTCCTGAGTTGACCTTTCAACAGTATTCATCACAATCATCCATGCCCTGCATCTTGAAGCACTTCCTTCTCTTGCCTTCCTGGACTCACTTTGCTAATGTATTACTTACTCTTCTGGCTCTTTCTTCCCAAGAATTGGGGCTGTTTTATATCTTCTGTTCAACCTTTAAAGTTTAGAGTGCCTGAGGTTCTATCCTGGTCTCCCTCCTCGATCTAAAGATTTGTCCTGTGTGATTTCATCCAGTTCCCATGACTTCAGTACCATCTTACACCAGGCACTCTGTATTTCCAGCTCCAACTACTAACCTGACATAGCTCCATGGATCTGTAATAGCATCTCATGGTTACACTGGCCAAAAAAGAATAGTTCCTGTGCCCTACACATACACATACACATTCACACTCTCTCTCTCTCCCTCTCTCTCTCTCTCTCACTCACTCACACTCCAACCAAACCAGTTCATTCCTCATTTCACAAAGAGCACCTTATTTGTCCATCATCACTTCCTCCTCAATCTCTCAGCCCAGCATGGGACCCCATGCCCATCACCCAGCATCCTTCATTCTGTCATCACTGCTCCTCCATGGTGAAGTCATTATCTTGCTCTCTAGGATGGTCACATCCTGAACACTGCTGATATTTGTCCTGTTCTCTCCCCGTTCCATCCCTAACCCAAGCCCATTCTCCATATAGCAGCCAAAACGTCTTAAAAATATGAATCCGTTTATGCTCCCCTTGCACAAGCTAAAACCCTTCTCCTTCTTACTCATAATTCTGACATGGCCCAGCCCTTTCTTACCCCTTAGACCTTACCTCAGTCTCTTCCCTGCCAGAAAGACTCTGCTCTGCTGCAACAAACATTTTAGCTTCTTCCCAAATGCCTTGGCTACTTTTTTTTCCTTTGCTCAACTTTTGAAGGTTGTCCTCTTGTGCAGATAAGTTTGCAAGTGAGAAGGCTCATTCCCTACGAGAATATGTAAGACTGCTGTCTAGAATGCCCTCCCCACCCCCCACCCCCACTTCTTGGTAGAAATGCTTATTATTATTCAGACCTACACTTATATATCACCTCCTCAGGGACTTTTACTGACATCCAATGTGAAGTAGGGACCCAGAGACATTCTTACAAAGCACACATCACTGTTTCATTTGCTTGCCGATTATTGTCTTTCTCCACTGAAATGTTAACTTCATGGAGGCAGGTTACCTTATCAACTGTTTCCATTTATCCTAAAACACATCATAATTACTCAATAATCTTTAAATGAATGAATTTATTAGCCAGTTCTATTTCTTCTGTGTCTTGCTAGTTCCAGTTTTTCCTGTAGATTATCAGTCTTAAGCCTTTATCAGATATGTGTTTTCTTTCATTTTTTAATTTTTTCGTATCTGCCACCATAAAAATGGCAGTTTAAATTCTTTATGTAATCAGATCTATCAATCCTCTGTGTGTGGGGGTGGTGGCACAGGGGGGACTTCAGGTTTCCTGTCTTGCTTCAGAAGTCTTCATTACCTCAATACCATACATTTTTCTTCTATATTTTATGACTTTTTTATTTTTATTTTTTAACATCATTAGAGCTTTCATCCATGTGGAATTTACTTGGGGATATATTGTGAGATAGGGATCTAACTTTACTCTTTCTACACTTACAGCCAAATGGCCTCTGATTTAAAATATCTCTTCATCATCTCAGCCATATTTGAATTTCTTTCATTACATATTTGCTTGTACTGACTTTGAAGTATCATGTGAGCTACCTACTGTCTTACAAGATGGTTTCATTGTCCCTCCACTTCATTCAGCCAGCGCATTGTGCAAAGCAACCTTGGTGGTGGCTCAGGTTCCCCTAAACTAGTTAGGTTTCTGTGGCCACATGCTGCCCTCCTAGCCAATCTCTACACCACTTCCATATATAAAATATAGAATAATAGAGGAAAGCAAGAGAGCAAATAAACCAAACTAAGAAAAACCTTCATTATTCAAGGTGTATTTTGGCTTGGGCCCTACTATATACGTTTTGTAGAGGTTTTACCTACCTCAGTTCCCACTGTCCTCAGCAGTGACTTTAAGAAAGGCCTGGTTATCCCCGAGAAGGAATCTGGATCTAAAAGAAGTGACTGGCTGGATATCACACTGTTCTTAGTGGCACTGCCAGAACTGCCCTACCAGGACCGTTTGCTTCGAGCTAGACAGTTTTGCAACTGTGCTTTTAGAAATCTTTTTAATTTTTTTTTTTAATAGAGGCATGTTTTATTTATTTATTTGTTTGTTTGTTTATACATGCACTGGGTACAGTCAGAAGCATGGGAGGGTGAGAGAATTCACCAGAGCCAGAGCGGGGAGCAGAGCAGGCAGAAGGACCGAAGTACACTGCTGAGGGGAGCAGCGGGCGGCAGGAGAGGTCTGCGCACCATGTGGGACCCTCCTCCGGTGGCCGGAGCAGCCGGGGATCGAACCGGCGCCAGAGAGGCCGCGGGCAGCTTTGCAACCCAGCGCTCAACCGCTGCGCCACCGGGGAGGCCCACTTTTAGAAATCTTTTAAAAAGAGATTTTTTTTAACAGAAAGGAAGGCTTTTCTGCTTTTAATCCGATCATTACCAAACAGTCTGGTCAAGCATTCTAGTTAGCTGAGCTTTTGTTGAGATTTCAAAATGAGTGGACAAATGTTAAGCACTTAATATTTGTAGCTGAGGAAGTTAAGGCTGCTGACTTAAAAAAAAAAAGTTAATGATATCTTTAACTCCAGGTTTTAACAGATTATGAAAAACAAGTGCTTATTCAGTAAAATCTATTTTTCTGTAGACATGCAGATTTTGTCGTCAAAAAGGAGCCACTGTGGGATGTGAAGTAAAATCCTGTTCTAAGAGTTACCATTTTTTCTGTGCCAAGAGTGACCACGCAGTGCTACAAACTGATGGATCTCGAGGAATTTATAAGTATGTAATAAAACAGTTTCAAAATCACGTTGAGGGTTGGAATAAGTAGATTAACACAAGTTGATTTTTAAAGTTAATATTATGCAGATTGTTTCTGGGTGAGAGTATGCCTTAAGGGACACCTGCTTGGGAACCTGACTTCACAACACCTTCTCTAAATATCATAGGGTGAAAACAGGTTGGTTTTAGTTTTGGTTTTAATCTTCCTTTCTTTGATGTTAGAAAGCATTGGTTTCCTTGTGGCATGAGTGATGTTCAGGGAGGCCTCAAGACCAAAAACCTTACTTGTTAGCCACAGGTAGTGGTTTTCACATCTTGCCTCCCCATTGAATGTGTTTTCCCACCCATCACCATTACTTAATAAATTTTCTAAACATGATAAACTAGGTAGCGAACACAGTAATCAGTCATTAGGTCCTTGCAGAAACTTACCCTGTTTGTATTTAAATCTTACTTCATGTCTTTTGATAATTCTGTAATATTAATACAGGTAAGGCATATTTCAAGTCCAATAGAATTATAGTTGTTTTATCCAGGAAGAAACTTTGATTTGTCTTCTGATGAAATATTTCAGTTCAGTTATATAATTACACAAATTAGTCACAAGAAATCAGCAAATTAGTTGTTAACAGAATTGAATCAGGTCATTTTCACTTAACCCTTTTTTTGTATGGAGATGAAGTGTAAAATATGAACTAGTATTGTTCAGAATATTGAGTCAGCACTTGCTCCTTCAGAGAGCATATTGACCTTTCCGAGGTCTGAGAGCACAAAAGACATATGGCAGAGGCTCCTTTCACTAGGTGTGGCTCATTGATTATTTATACAGGTCTGAACAACATATTCTTTAATAATTATTTCAGGTGAAACCATCATGAAAAATAGGTTAGTTCCTTTTAAAATCACAGGAGAGCCTCCCTGGTGGCACAAGGGGTTAAGCACAGCGCTATGAAGCTATTTACAGCCTCTGCAGCCTGGGTTCCATCTCCAGCCAGGGAGCAACCCACATGGTGCAGCAGACCTCTCCTGACTCACCCGCTGGTCCCCTCAGCAGTGTATTTCAGTCAGTCTGCCTGTTCTGCTCCCCGCTCTGTCTCTGGTGAATCCTCTCACCCCCCACACCTCTGGCCTGTACCCAGTTCTTGTATGCATAAATAAAAAAATTAAAAAAACCAAAATCACAGGAAAGTAGGCACATTTGAAAAGTGTAAATAAAAATATTTGATTCTTTGAAATTGCATGTTTTCAGAGTGTTTTGCCAACAACATGCTCCAAAGGGAGGATTTCAAAATGGTAAGTCTCTCAAATTAGTATTTAGTGGGTTAAATGGGTTTAAAGAAACATGTAAGAAAGACATGAAAGTCTGATGTGCTAACCTCATTGAATTAACATACAAATTTTTGAGTTAAAATTGTACATATAAAATTATCAGTTTCTTTGTGGGCTTGTAACATAATGAACGTTTCATTCTTTGTGAACTGAGCCAACTTGCAGTAGTCTTTGGTGTCTTCCATCCTCACTACAATCAGAGGATCCAACCAAGATGTGATTGACTTCTGTGACTGCTTCTCTTCTAAAAGATTATCAGACTTTTCAGTTGAAAAAACTGAAAAAGTGCTGTACGTTCCCCTCAATGAAATTTTCCTAAGAATGCACTCTGAGCATTTCAGTTCTAATTAAGGAGTGTGGATACTGGCTACCTGGAACTCTGGGAGGCACATCCATTCTGGAGTGATTCCTGTGCATTGCTCAGGGCAGTGTCAGCAGCACTAACGCTGTTGTGCTTACCATGCCTTGATCTGTGTCAGGACAGCTGCATTCCATGATGGTAAATAGAACTCTCTAAACAATATCATTAGCTTCATTCTTCAGTCATTATTACCCTTTTAACTTATCAAGAAACAATGCAGAAAATTACTAGCAATCAATATTTTTTGACAGGGAAAGATGACAATAATGGATTAGTTTTAAGTAGCAGGTTGTAACACTCATAAATCCTGTCCCACAGAAAACCATTGCTTCTTTTGAATTCTTCCAAAAGTTTGCTGTACTTACAAACATAACTACTACTATATTTTGCTTTTTCTCACCTAATATATCTCAGAGATCCTTCCATGTCAGCATAAGTAGATTTAACTTTTGTTAAAAGGCTGCATAAATATTCCATTGTGTTTATTATTCAGTTGCATAGCTATTCAACCACAATTGAACTAGTCTCTTCAGAGACTCTAGGTTAGTTTACAGTTTTTTTCTGTCGTATGTAATACTACAGTTACAACTCTCTCCACCTTTGTGCCTTTATGTGATTGTACTATTAGGAAAACTTCCTATAACTACATTGTTTATTATAAACAATGAACCTTTGGATAACTATTGGCTGTCTTCCAAAGAGGCAATACCTAGCAGTACACAATTACCCAAATCCTTGCAAACATTATATATTAAGCATTTTCATCTTTGTCAATCTGATAAATGAAAAATTCTTGATTTTGCATCTCTTTACTGATGAGTGAAATTAAGTATATTCCCCTTTTTTGTCAATTATATTTGCATTTCTATGGCCTAATCTGTTTTTCTATTTAATGAAAGCTCTCCCAGGAGGGTTCCCCTTTTGCCCATTTTTCTACTCAATTGTCTTTTTCAATTTTTAATTAGCCTTTTATCATAAGTATTATGAACACTTAATCTTAAGTTTGTCATAAATCTTTTGATTTTGATAAATTTGGCGATAGAAATTTTATATTTTATATGGTTAAGTGTGAATCTTTTCCTTTCTGGTTTCTGTATTATATTTTCAGATAATTTTTCAGGAGTGAAAAGAAAAAAAATGAAGAAATGTCTCTCAACAGACATTTGTGTACAGGTAATTTTACTTAATTTTAAATTATTATAACTTTAAATTTCTTCATACATAGTCTTTATTTTATCCATTCTGAATTTTAGGTGACATGATAGAACCATAGTGAGATGATATTAAGTAGAAGTTGGAAGTGTCTTGAATACTTAAGTACAACCTTCAGGGGCTGATAGTCCCACAGTCCTTACAACACATCTTCTGGCACTAAATTGGTGGGAGGACCTGCATGGACAGAGTGCAGTATTTCACAGCTGCATGATCTACTTGACCTAATATGTAATTCTTATTATTTTCTAGATTACTTTTATATATGAAGCATATGAAAATGTTTTGGGGATTTGAAAGTTTTTTTTATATATCAGCTTATATGAACTAAATTACTATGAGCCAACAACCTTCACCTCTTATTGTTTTTATGAGATGCTTATCATATTTCTTGATGTTTTGTAATACAGAACACAAAGACATTTGATGTTTACATCTACAGATGAATAGGAGGCATGATTTTTACAGCATATCATTGAATTATACACATGAAAGATTGGTTTTCATTTAATGCAATATCAAATGCCAATAATAAAGCCAGTATAATTGATTATTTTTCTTCTTCTAGACCCCTGCAGAAATGACAGTCAATAGATTTTTAAAACAATTGAGGAAAATGGATGGTACACACACAGGTTTGCTATAAGTTTTATCTCTAACATATATGACCCACTGAAATGCTGACCAATGTATTTCAAAGTTGTATCCCACTTTATTTATTTTTTAAAGATTTATTTATTTATACAAGAACTGGGGTACAGGCCAGAGGTGCGGGAGGGTGAAAGGATTCATCAGAGACAGAGCAGGGAGCAGAACAGGCAGACGAAACAAAGACACTGCTGAGGGGAGCAGCAGGAGCGGCAGGAGAGGTCTGCCGCACCATGTGGGAATCTCCCCAGCTGGCCGAGAAACGAACCAGCACTGCAGAGGCTGCGGACAGCCTCACAGCACTGCGCTCAACCCACTGCACCACGAGGGAGGCCCCTACTTTATTTTTTAAAACTTACCGTAACTTATTATAGGAATAGATATTTTTATCATAACTATTGACTCTATCATAACCCTAGCAGATCAAAATAACTTAAATTGGGATGGTCCATCACTCTTGATTCATATAATTCTAAGCAAATACGTTTTTATTTTCACTTCTCACCACATTGTTTCAGCTAGAAAAAAATGAGGTGATGAAATTACAATTCATAGTTATAAGTAGAATACAGGTGCTGTGTGTATATCTAACTCAGCTCATCCATGTTAGTCAGGCTCCTAAGAGATAAGGTGACTGAGGATAACTGCACAAAGACAAACCATTTCCTCTCAAATGTTTTTATTCTTAGATGCAGTTATGAAAGTTTCTTTTCTTAAGAAATGTAAAGAAGCAGGACTTCTTAATGACTTATTTGAAGCAATATTAGACAAACTTCATTCAATTCACGAAAGACTCATGGATGAGACGGCTTCAGAATCAGGTATGGATATAGCAGCATTTCTAGTTGAGACTTCTCACAGACCTACATGTAAAACCACACAACCCCCCCCCCCCCCAAAAAAAAAAAGTACACATTTTCTTTCTGTGCTGTTCTCTTTTCCTTCTTTATCCCATTCTTGAATAAAATTCCTAGCTCCTCATCTCTTATGCTTTATAAATAAAATGGATGTAGGTAATTCCCAAGCTCATTAACTTTGATGTACTTGGTGCCTTGAAAGTTATGATGTATTGTCCGCAGCGCTAAGCTGAGAGTGATCACCAAGAAAATGGGCCCATTCAGAACCAGCTTCAATCATACATCTGCACCCTCCCCAGACCCCAGTTGTAGCTAAGACCTTAGAGAATGGTGTGTATCATTTCATAGTTTTGATTTCACTCAAATTCTATTTCTCAACAAACCAAATGGCTTTTTTTGTGAAGTAGAAAAGAAGTAATTTTAATCTTTTGATTGATGGTATGGTAAAATTTGACCTTTCACAGAGAGTGTTTGAGAAACAAGTTCCATTCATACAGGCAAATATAGAACCACTTAGCCTTCTTAAAACCTATAATTATGAAGTTAAAAACCTGACTATAAATACAGCTATAGTAAAATGTTTGTTAGTATATATTTTATACAACAATGTAACATGATTATCAAATGTAATATTATAGCATTATGTAGATCTGCATCATTAAAAATTGACATCTGTAAATATATTAAGTTCACCACTAGAAGTCCAACTCTGGTTTTCATCATACAATTGAGTCCATTTACCCAGTTTCCCCACCCAATTTCCTCTTTCCCCTTCCCTTCGGGTAACTACTAATTTGGTCTTAAGTCTAAAAGTTTGTTTTATTTCATTCCTTCTTTTGTCTGGTTTCCTTATATACCACATGAGTAAAATCATACAATGTTTGTCTTCATCACCCTTTTCACAAAGCTTAATACTGTCCATCTGTGTTTTTGCAAATGGCAGGATTTCATTTTTTATAGCTAAATAATATTTCATTGTGCATATATACCAATCTTTATCCATTTATGTGGCTGGGCACTTAGGTTTTCAGTTCTTGGCTATTGTATATAATTTGCAATAAACATGGAGGTGCATATAGCTCTTGGAATTAGTGTTTTTGTATTTTTTGGGTTATCCAGCAGTGGGATAACCAGATTGCATGGAATTTCTGGTTTTAGTTTTCTGAGAAGTCTCATATTATTTTCCACAATGGTTGCACCAATTTATAATCCCAAAAACAATGTTCAAGGGTTTAAAATGGATCATTTTATAGGACAAAACCCCAAAAGTGAAATTAAGAACAAACATTTCCAAAAGCACATCCTTTACCTTCTTTTATTTTACTCTTTTCTCTAGACCAAGTACCTTTCAACTTGAGCATGCCTCTCAAAATCACCTGGAGGTCTTCTTAAAATGCAGATAGCTGGGTCTCACCCCTGGAGCTCTGATTCAGAAGATGTGCTAAGAATTCGCATTTCTCACAAGTTCCAGGTGGTGCTGCTGGCACTGCTGTCTCACACTAATGTTCTACAAGGGATGACTGCTGTTATTCCTTCCTTTGGGTTATTTGTGTCTTGGGGTGTTTCTGCCTATATAATTTATTTAAATTACAACTAAATGCTTTCTCTCCCTCCAGACTATGAAGAAATTGGGACTTCACTTTTTGACTGTACATTGTTTGAAGACACATTTTTTGATTTTCAAGCAGGTATATGAGTTAAAACTGAGTGGCAAAGTTTATAAATATTTATCATACATATTGAAATACTACTCCTTGGGTGGTTAAAAATCATTTTAGAAGAATGTTCATTGTTTTAGTACATGAAACACCATTGAAAAAACAATGTGACCCCTAACATACACACACAAAAAAAATAGGTATGCAGAAAAGCTGCACCCAGTCAATGCAAACAGCAGTTACCTGGAGGAGGCTGGATTATAGTGATGTCTTTTGTCTTTAGTGCTGCATGTATTTCCCACATTTTCTACACACAGATAATCCTTCTGTAATTAGAGAAAACATTTGAAAAAAGTGAAACAAAACTGAAAAATTGAAGAGTATCTAGACACCATGTTCAGGAATTAGCAGGGTGCTAACTAGCCTCTAAGCAACCTCTGTTTTCAGGCACAAGGCTGTGGGGAACAGCGAGGCTGCAGGCCTTCTATGTGGTATGTTATACACAAATTTCAATTCTCCCAACATCAATCTTCAAATCTAATGGGGTAGTGTGTGACTGATTCTAAAGTTCATCAGGGGGGAAAAATGAGCAATAAAGAAGAAATTTTTAGAAAACACCCAGTGAGGGCACAGATTCAACATTTCTACAACCTGCTCACCATCGTTTAAAACACCTCCAAAACAGGCTAAATTCCCACCTGCTGTGAGTGTCATCTAACCTCTCTATCAAGGCAGCCACACACAGCAGAGCGGCTGGGCTTTGTACATCCGAGTGTACAGGTCACTCAGAATTTGATATAGATGGGCTCCCTGAAGTCACACACACTGCGCCCTACATTCTTTTCCAGGACATGTCTGTCCAGCAAATGTATTAGGACAATAGGTTTCCCCTGTGAAGAAATTAGTCCATATCTCTGTCTCCATACACACAAGCCTTTCTCATTTTTTTTTTAAAGATTTATTTATTTATTTATACAAGCACTGGATACTGTCAGAAGTGCACGAGGGTGAGAGTATTCACCAAAGCCAGAGCTAGGAACAGAACAGGCAGACTGACGAAGTACACTGCTGAGGGGAGCAGCGGGCGGCAGGAGAGGTCTGCGCGCCATGTGGGACCCTCACCCTGCGGCCAGGGATCAAGCCAGGGATCAAACCGGCGCTGCAGAGGCTGCGGGCAGCTTCACAGCGCGGTGCTCAACCGCTGCGCCACCAGGGGAGGCCCCCTTTAGCATTTTTTCATCATTTCTCACCAGCAGGAGAAAGTTATTTTAACTTATCAAAAATAGTGAATCTTTTAACAGTCGCTTGAGAATGTCTACATCCTGCTGAGGACAGCATCCATATATTTTATTTTTTTAAAGGAGCCTTTAAAATCTTATTCTGAGGGCCTCCCCAGTGGCACAGCGGTTGAGCGCTGGGTTGCGAAGCTGCCCGCTGGCTCTGCAGCACCAGTTCGATCCCCGGCTGCTCCCCCGCCACCGGAGGAGGGTCCCACATGGTGCGCAGACCTCTCCTGCCGCCCGCTGCTCCCTTCAGCAGTGTACTTCGGTCCTTCTGCCTGCTCTGCTCCCCGCTCTGGCTCTGGTGAATTCTCTCACCTTCCAGCACTTCTGACTGTACCCAGTGCTTGTATAAATAAATAAATAAATCTTAAAAAAAAAAAAAAAAAAAACTTATTCTGAAAAGCTTTATTTTGTAGACTTCCTTCTATGTTTATTTTCTTTCATCTAAAAGAAGCTACATACAAATGCTTCCTGTGTGTAACATGTCACTTCCTGGGTGCGTTAGTTGGGAGTCCAGGCATTACAGTGTAGTAGCTGGTGGTGGGGCGCACCCAGAGGAGGCACTGTTTGGAATTACATAAGACCTAAATCAAATGGCTTCACTTTTTTTTTTTTTAAGTTTTTTTTTTGTTTCTTTATAGAGGCATGTTTTATTTATTTATTTGTTTGTTTGTTTTGTTTATACAAGCACTGGGTACAGTCAGAAGCGCGGGAGGGTGAGAGAATTCACCAGAGCCAGAGCGGGGAGCAGAGCAGGCAGAAGGACCGAAGTACACTGCTGAGGGGAGCAGCGGGCGGCAGGAGAGGTCTGCGCGCCATGTGGGACCCTCCTCCAGTGGCCGGGGAGCAGCCGGGGATCGAACCGGTGCCGCAGAGGCAGCGGGCAGCTTCGCAACCCACCGCTCAACCGCTGCGCCACTGGGGAGGCCCCCTCAAATGGCTTCACTTTTGACATCACAACTGATAAAGACTTTCTTGCTTAATTTAGCCTTTGTAATGCCGCAGAAAGTTAACCACAGGTATACAGGTATTCTATAAAAAGATTATATATATATATGTTTCAGTATTCTTCAATTTTGAGGTTTTAAAAAAATGACATTGCCATTGTACTTTTGTTGTTTACAAACCTAATTAAAATAACCTTCTTCCAAAGTTTCCATAATAAAACCTTTCTATTTCTAAATAAAACCAAAAGCATTTATGTAACATTAAGAATTTAATGCATTTTTATGAGAGGTTTGCCCTTATCCTTGACATTCTAACCACATGTGCTCTCCAGTTATCACAGCTCTCTCAATAAATGAATATAGCATGAAGGTTATACAGTCACTGTTTTTGAGTTTTTAAAAATAGACAAAAGGGACTTAGAAAAAGCTACAAATGTATAGGGAATCTTAAAGATTTACTGATTAGCCTTATGTGTGATAATATGAGAATTCTATTCTGCAATAGAAGAAGCAGCAAAGGCATTAAAAACAGTTACTAAAAAAAAAAAAAAAGGAACCAGTTACTGCTCACAAAACTCTATTATTTGGGGCACAACATTGTTACTATGCACTTGCAAGAGGAAAGGGCTAGAACTATAGTTATTTATAAAAGTACCGAATAATCTGAAATAACTCATTTTTCCTTATTGTAGCAATAGAGAATGAAATTCATCAATCTGAAGAAAGGCGGCGGCAGCTGAAAGAAGAGATTGAGCTACTTCAGGACTTAAAACAAACCTTGTGTTCTGTTCAAAGAAACAGAGATACTGCAGTAACTTCTGAATCATCTTACAAATTTCCAAAGCCAGAAAGTCAGGCACAGTTGCAAGCTGGTAGGGAGGACACACACTCCAACCAGTGAACGCCACATGTCTTTAAGACTAGGTTTCTCTTGCATTAGTCTGCAAACTTCATTTCTCACCATCTCTACCTGTTCTTACTGGGTTACATTATATGCCAGTTTGGGTGTTTACCTCCCCCCTTCTATCATCTGAGGTCTACTTCTCCTCTCCACTGTTTCTTGAATTATACTTGAGTAAGTTGGATCATGCCTTCCATCTCTCCCACTCTTTGGTAGCTCCCAGCTGGTGCAGTCTCTCACTCCAGAGATCTAAATTGATTCCAGTAATAGGCCAGGTGCTTCCCCTGCAAACCCACCCAGGGAGGGAGCATGTCCTGTTGTGAAGTCCTAACTGCTGCGCCCACGGGTCTCACCTCCCAGCTCTCCCACTTACTACCTCTGAGAGTACTTTTCCTCCATGGCCATACTCGGTGTAACCATTGTATCTAGCTCTCCGAGGCCAGGGACTCACTATTTTGTGTTTCACTTATTGCATTCCCAGCTCCAGCATGCGCTGCCACTGTTGATTAGCTGCATAATAATAAGGACATAAACTGTTCTTATTTTTTGAGACTAGTTCCAGCTTATAATGCCTCTTAGAGATAAGTTTGAAACTTACTTTACTTGAATCAAATTTACCTAAATTTACCTCTCTTCTTGTCATAAAGTTTGTTTTTTAAATTTCTTTTCAGATATTCACCACATAGGTATACATCATCTTCAAAATAAACATTTTTTTAACTGTAAAAGTATATGGCCTTTTATTTTTTAACTTATTTATATATATTTTACATCATTTTTGTTCATTTTTAAACAATGTTTGTACCCCATAGAATGTTTGCTCCCCATAGAATTTCCTGCACCAATCCACCCGTGACCATCACCACAGTCCCCTGTGCTCCTCCCTCCCTCCCTCTGATCCCTCTCCCTCCTCCTCCCCTGCAGGATGTCTCTGGTTTATAATTGTCTGCTTGTCTTTGTTTTGTTGTGTTTTGTATCATTATTATTTATCCCCCTGATGTCTTATTGGGTTCCCCTATATTCCTCCTGTAAGTGAAACCATCAGGTATTTTTCTTTTTCCTTCTGACTTCACTGAGCATAATTCCTTCTAGCTCCATCCATGTTGCTGAGAATGGCATGAGTTTATCTTATTTGATTGCTGAACAGTAGTCCATTGTGTGTATGTACCACATCTTCTTGATCCAGTCTTCTATTTTTGGGCATTTGGGTTGTTTCCAGGTTTTACTTATTGCAAATAGTGTTGCAATAAACATAGGGGTGCAGGTATCCTTTTGAATTAATATTTTTGTGTCCTTTGGGTAGATCCCTAGGAGAGGAACTCCTCAGTCATATGGTAGCTCCATTTTTAGTAGACTGAGGAAATGCCACACAGCTTTCCATAGTGGTGGGACCAGTTTGCACTCCCATCAGCAATGTAGGAGAGTTCCTTTTTCACCACATCCTTGCCAACATTTCTTGTTACTAGTTTTATTTATGTAGGATGGCCATTTTAATGTTAATTCTTCCGTCCATGAGCAGGGGATGTCTTTCCATTTCTTTGTGTCGTCTTCTATTTCTTTTAACAGTGTTTTATAATTTTCTTTGTATAGGTTTTCACCTCTTTTGTTAGATTTATTCCCAAGTATTTGATTTTTTTTCAGTTATAAAAAGGGACAGTTTTCTTGATTTCTTCTTTATATTGATTGTGTATAGGAAGGCTACTGATTTTTGTGTGTTGATTTTGTATCCTGCTACTATACTAAACTGGTTGATTATTTTGATTAGTTTTTCTGTGTAATTTTTAGGGTACTCTATGTCCATATCATCTACAAATAGTGACAGTTTTACTTCTCTCCCTATTCAAAATAAATATTTTAAACTGGATATTTGAGTATTAATGGGAATATGCAAGAATAAAAAACAATTGAGTTAGGATTTTTTCAACCTAACAATATTTACATTTTTATGCTCCAAAACAATTTCTCACCCCTGAAAACCTCACATTTCTCACTCTTCTCACACTTCTAAATTTCTACCACAGTACTCTGATTCATAATCATGCTACATTTCAAAATGAGTTTGACCTGACTCCCCAGCATAATGTCTGGCACATAAGAAGTCAAAGAATTTAATTGAAGGAAGAATATGCTATAGATGAAAAAAGAACATTCCTATTGCAAAAAAAGAACATTCCTATTGCAACAGCAACTCTTGTCCAAGTTATTACCTGAGAGACAAAATCTAAATCTGTGGTTTTCAAAATTCAAATGACCAGGAGCACTTAAGAAACTACAGAAATGAAGTCTCCAGAATTCCAGATCCACTAAAGATTTCCCCTGGTCTGAATGATTACTGTAAATTTAACTTACTGCACTGAAATTATATCCTATAGCACAGCTTGTCTGAGTAATAGTTTTGTTTTGTTTTTAAGATTTATTTATTTATTTATTTATACAGCACTGGGTACAGTCAAAAGCGCAGGAGGGTGAGAGAATTCACCAGAGCCAGAGCAGGGAGCAGAGTGGGCAAACTGATGAAATACACTACTGAGGGGAGCAGCAGGTGTGGCAGGAGAGGTCTGTCGTGCCATGTGGGACCCTCACCGGTGGCCGGGGATCGAACTGGCGCTGCAGAGGCTGCGGGCAGTTCAACCACTGTGCCACTGGCTGCCCAGTTCAACCACTGTGCCACCAGGGGAGGCCCTGAGTAATAGTTTTGATGTCTGTTGTACGCAGGCTTTTCTTTTTTTTTTTTGGTTATTTATTTTATATAATTCTTTTTTTTTAAAACAATAGCTTTTTAATAACATTTTCAATTTTATGTTATGTTAGATGAGCACAAACGTATCATAAAAATAAAGCAGGTTTTTTTACATAATTCATGTCAAATTAAATAGCCTCTTCACCGATTCTTTGTACTGAGAAAGGGTATTTTCATTTTCCCCCTCATTCTTCAGACTAACAACAGACTTCTTGTGGTCCTCAGCTTCTTTAGTGCCCAGGAGCTCTTCTTTACCTACTTGCAGATGTTTCTCAGCAGCTCTAATTTGTAGAAGAGTTTCCAGGACATTTTTTTTCTGAGGAGCTGTTGTCCCATGTATATTCTTCCATGTCAGCTTCAGTCTTATTTTGCTCCCATTATTCCACTTTCCAAGACTCGTGGTACAAAAGTGTCAGTAAATACATTGTATAATCATAATTCTGTCTCCTTAAAGGGCACCTATCAGTTTTGATGGTGAGCACATCCGTGTCCTTGCAGTAGCGCTCTCCCACAAGCTTAATAAATTTCTTCTTTGCATGATCATCTAAATTCAAATTGGAAAGTTTAACCCTTAAGGTGACTACTCCTGTTTTAGGGTTTCGGATAGATGGTCCTGATGGAACATAATCAGCTGTGTCTATTTCAATTGGAAAATGCTTCTCACATTTCTCATCGCTATCTAGTGCAGTTGGCCTGCAGTGCTTCACAGTGCCTTTTAATTGCAACTGGAGTCAAATGCAGAAAATTGGGGATCTTTAAAAGTTCTAGATTTCCCTCCTTGGGCATAGGCACCCCTCTTTTCACAGGATAACCCATTCGAACAGGAAGAGGTACAGCTAAGGGTTTAAAGGGTGCTGCAACGGGATAAACACTGGGCCAGTCCTGGTCAACAGACATTTTCTCTGTCCTAGGAGGTAGTGCCTTTCTTCTCTGGGGCCTTTCATGCTTGTAAGTTCTTTCTGTTGTACGCAGGCTCGGCCTAGGAGCGCGAGGAGTCGGAGACACCTCGGTGGAAAAGGCACGAAGAGTCCAGGTGGCCAGCAGCAAAGCCAGCCATGCGAGGCGGGCGACCGCCGCCATGGTGGCGAGGACGGCCTATTTTATATAATTCTTACATCAGTTTTCATTTTTGCACAATGTATGCATTTTCATTTTGGTTATATTCCCCATACGATTCCACCCCCCTTATTTTGACCCTTATCCCTCTTCTCCTCCCCCCATCTCCCTGCATAGTTTGTCTCTGGTTTATAGTTGCTTGTTGATTTTGATTTTTTCTTTATTATAATTAGTCTTTTTCCTGGTCCCTTACTCAGGTTTTCTAAATTCCTGCTATGAGTGAGACCATCCGGTATTTTTCTTTTTCTTTCTGACTTATTTCTCTGAGCATGATCCCTTCTAGCTCCATCCATGTTGCTGCAAACTGCATGTGTTTCTCTTTTTTGATTGCTGAGTAATATTCCATTGTGTATATGTACATCTTGTATGTCTTTCTCTTGTCTTAGTGCTCTGGCTAGGACTTCCAGTATTATATTATAAAGCAGTGGTGAGAGTGGACATCCTTGTCCTGTTCCAGATCTTAATGGAAATGCCTTTAACTTTTCACCATTGACAATGATATTGTCTGTGGGTTTGTCATATATGGCCTTTATGATGTTGAGGTATGTTCCTTATATCCCGAGAATTTCAAGGGCCTTTATCATGAATGGGTGTTGTACCATGTAGAAAGCTTTCTCAGCATCTATTGATATTATCGTATGGTTTTTATATTTTTTTGTTGATGTGTTGGATTACATTGATTGATTTTTGGATATTGAACCATCCTTGTGTCCCTGAAATGAATCCTACTTGGTCGTGGTGAATTATCTTATGGATACATTATTGGATTCTGATAGCTAAAATTTTGTTGAGGATTTTTGCATCCGTGTTCATTAGAGATTGGCCTGTAGTTTTCTTTTTTTGTGTTGTCCTTGTTCAGTTTTTGTATTACTGTAATGTTGGCTTCATAGAGCGTGTTTGGTATTATCCCTTCCTTCTCAATTTTTTGGAAGAGTTTGTGAAGGATAGGCACTAATTCATCTCTGAATGTTTGGTAGAATTCATTTGTAAATCCATCTGGTCCTGGGCTTTTGTTTTTTGGGGAGGTTTTCGATTACCATTTCTATTTCACTGCTTGTAATTGGTCTGTTTAGGTGTTCTATTTCTTCTTTATCTAGCTTTGGGTGATTGTAGAGTTCTAGGAAGTTGTCCATCTCTTCTAGATTGTTGTGCTTGTTTGCAGATAACTGTTCATAGTAATTTCTGATTATTCTTTTGATTTCTGCTGTGTCTGTTGTGATTTCTCCTCTTTCATTTGTGATCCTATTTATTTGTGCTTTCTCCCGTTTTTCCTTTGTGAGCCTGGCTAGGGGTTTGTCTATTTTATTTATTTTTTTGAAGAACCAACTTTTGGTTTCATTGATCTTTTGTATTGTTTTTTTAGTTTTGATTTCATTTATTTGTGCTTTGATTTTCATTCTTTTCTTCTACTGGATTTAGGGGTTTTTTGTTGTTCTTTTTCTAGTTCTTTGAGCTGTGAGATTAGGCTGTTTCTTTGAGTATCTTGATGTGAGCCTGTATTGCTATATATTTTCCTTTTATTACTGCTTCAAGATCTTTGTTTAAAAGAGACCTCTTCGGTCTCCCTGGTGGCGCAGCGGTTGAGCGTTGGGTTGCAAAGCTGTTCGCAGCCTCTGCAGCGCTGGTTCGATCCCCAACCACCGGCGAGGATCCCACATGGTGTGCCGACCTCTCCTGCCGTCCACTGCTCCCCTCAGCTGTGGACTTCGTCAGTCTGCCTGCTCCGCAATCCCCTCTGGCTCTGGTGAATTCTCTCACCTTCCCACACTTCTGACTGTACCCAGTGCTTGTATAAATAAATAAATCTTTAATAAAGAGACCTCTCTCACTTTTCTTTCAAATGTGATGTATAATCATAATTTGGCACAATGGAGCAATGTGCTTGGCAATTATAACACAAGGTAATATCAGGCAGACCTAAAGCCTACTAGGATTTATACTTTAGCGATGTCAGTACTGAAAAACCATACTCAAATCATGTAATCTGAGCATAATTCTGCCTAATTCTGATCTCTAATCTGAGTCTAATTAATTCTGAGTCTAGTTATGGTACAAAATGTTAACACTAAAAAAGAAAATGTATATAAAGCACAGTGCACATGTCTGCCACACGGGAAAATAAAAGTTCTAAAACATACATATACACACCACACACACCCTTTCCTTGCCAACATTTCTTCCTGATGGGTCCTGACTTGTGTTCTCTGTTTTGTTTTTTTTAATCTTTCTTTGGTAAGATTTATTTATTTATGCATACAAGAGCTGGGGTGTAGGCCACAGATGTGGGAAGGAGGATTCACCAGACAGAGTGGGGAGCAGAACAGGCAGATCTACCAAAATACACTGCAAAGGGGAGCAGCCAGCAAGACAGGAAAAGTCTGTTGCACCATGTGGGTAGTCTCCCTAGTTGGAGTTCGAACTCATGCTGCAGTGGCTGCCAATAGCTTCGTAGTGCTGAGACTTAACTCCTTGTGCCACCAGGGAGGCCCTGTTCTCCATTCTTATACAAGCATTGGGTATAGTGCTTGAGAGAATTGTACACTGCTAGGTCTGCGCCATGTGGGACTCTCTGCAGAGGCTGCAGCAGCTTTGCAACCCAGTGCTCACCATTGCGCACCGGGGAGGCCCTGTTCTCCATTCTTAACAATGGTGCTTATGGTAAACTCTGGAAGATTCATTAGCCTTACCCTCTATGGCTGTGTTTGTGCCACTTACCTGTTGTTTTGGAAATGAGCGAAAAGGACCCTTTGTTTTCTCCTACACAGCCACAGCATCTTCAGAACAGCTGCTTCTCATATTAACTATATTATCAATAGGTTTTCTTACTATTATGAAAAGCTGTTTATATTATTGTGTCAATTCCTGAACATAGCTCTCTTCTCTCCTAATAATGTATTTAGTCCTTAAGGGTAGGAATTGTATCTTTTTGTTATTTATAAGTACCCCCAAAGAATTCAGATATATTTTCTGCTGTATTATTTTTCAGGAGGAATAAAATTAAAGGATTTCTTTGGGTGTATGTGGGGGGGTGGAGGGCGGGGTTTGTTGAAGAACAGCATATTCATTGTGGTTCCTGTTTTCTAGCCCAAGTCCTTTAAAAATCATAGCACTGATTTTTTAAGAACTGTGGCAAAATATGACAATTTCACAGAGTGACCATGTTTGAGTGTACCGTTTCACTGCATTAATTACATTCACATTTGTGCCACCATCTCCACCAACCATCTACAGAATACTCTTCATCTTGCAAAATGAATTCTGTACCTGTTCAACATTAATTCTCCATTCCCTCCTCCTCCCCAGCCCTGGCAACTACCATTCTTCCTTTTTTTTTAAAGATTTATTTATTTTTACAAGCACTGGGGTACAGGCCAGAGGCGTGGGAGGCTGAGAGAATTCACCAGAGACAGAGCAGGGAGCAGAACAGGCAGGACTGAAATACACTGCTGAGGGTTGTAGCGGGCACGACAGGAGAGGTCTGCGGCACTATGTGGGAATCTCCCTGGCCGACTGGGAATTGAACTGGCGCTGCTAGAGGCTGCGGACAGCTTCACAGCGCTGTGCTCAACCCGCTAAGCCACCAGGGAGCCCACACCACTCTACTTTCTATCTCTATAAAGCTGATGACCCTAGGTCATTATAGAAGGGAATTGCAGAGTATTTGACCTTTTGTGACTAGAGTAGTTCACTTAGCGTAGTGTCTTCAGGATCATGCAGGTGCAGTATGGGTCAGAATTTCCTTCCTTTTTCAGGCTGCATATTACTGATTTTTGAGGGGGAAAAGAACAACTCTGTATGCCTGTTTTAACAGATTATTTTATTTATTAATGTGTCATTCTAAACATTACATAAATACAGCCTATATTCTAGAGTATCAAACATTATTCCAGTAAGAAGTTCAAGAGTAGATGAAGGGCTGATTTAAGAAATATGAATACTTTGCCTTTCATTATTACGCCAGGTGAAAAAAGCAACTCAAAGAATAGTTCTCATCTCCTGCTATGACTAGCAACAAAACCAAGTAAAAAAATAAGAGTATTAAAAATAAAAGATACTCAATAGAAGGACATTTCTATTCTCTTCCTACATACATACTCATACAAATTACTCAGTAATCTAACATAAGAAGTGTTTCTTCACTTGTATTACGAACTCAGTAAATATTTGTTGAATGAATTCCCTATGGAAATGGATATATATACTTTAGTTTGTGCTTTTGGGGGGAATTTTCTTTTTCAAGTAAGAGCAATAGTAAACATACTGAAATTCTTCTTTTGTCCTAATCATAAGCCTACAGAACAGTGATTATTACAAACATTATCCATCATAATTAATAACTAAGTTAATGTGCATTTACCAACCTAAGAAAATTCGTACGTTGCAGAACTAATTCTAACCTAATAATTCACTGGGCTTCAATCACTTGCAATATAATTTAAAAAAAAAAATGGGGAGGGGGGAGCTGGGCTTCTAGGTTTGTTATTTATTTCACCTATCAATGAATTCCTATCTTTCATCCATCACCCCCTCCCCCAACACACACTCAAAAACATCACTAAAAACAGTAGCTGCAGCATCTCTTCGCAGTCTTGTTAGTTCCACTCTAAAAAGATATTTAGGCTCTGAGTTCAGATAGGAGGCTGTTCCAAGCAGGAAACAGACTTCAGTAAAGGAGCGCCCATGAATGGAAATAAGTCCGTAGATGAAGAACAGAGGAAAGCTTTGTTCTTAAAGCAAGCTCAGAGGACACACAAAACACCACAAATGAAAAGTTCCTTTCAAATGGAAACTTTTCAGAAAAACCATCATTTGATCCTTTTTAAAAATTAAATTGCACTTAATATTAGACCTAGTACAATTAAAAGGAGAGGAATATCAAAAGTGAAAACCGATAAAGTTTCAAATAAGCAAATTTGTGATGATATTTGGCCTAAAGATAGAACAAATCCCATTACAACCTGTAAGACAGTGGGTTTCCAAAGAACTACTTCTTTGAGTCAGATGTAGCACATCTGATGACCTAGCAGCCATAATTTAGAAGGCAAGAATATATTGAATGTGTCGTTATTTTCCTCTTATGTTAGCATTTATAGGGAGAAGAGGGGAAATTTAAACTTGAGTTCTTGAATTTCATCTTAATTTAACAAACCACAATTAGATAGTATTGCAGAGTCTAATTTAATTTATAAAACAGTCACTTCTATCCAAAGAAAGTTTATCAACTTTTCACAGATAGTTCTAAATTAGTATGTTTTATGTGCTTAAGTCTTAAGAGACATTTTGACTAACCCAGAAATGCACCTTAACATAATTATCATTTCAATAGGTTTAACTCATATTAAACTGAATATTTATTTTGATATACCTTGAGGTTAAAAAAAAGTCATCAGTAGTGCAAACTCACAAACAAAAGCCTCCAGTGACCATACTTATTCCTTCACAGTAAAGCTGCTATACCAGCAACTAATGCAACACTTCAACAACCCCAATTAAAGTCAGGGGCTTTAATTCGAAGTAGGGCCTCTCTATCTCACAATTCACACACTATCCCAACTCCCAGTATCAAAAGGGCTGTTGATATGAGAGCCAGGAGATTTGCCACATACTTCCCCTTTCCAAGTTCAGACGTTCCTCCAAGCAAAAACAAAAAACAACCAGCTGAACTTTCACCCTTTTACAATGTTCCAGCCAAATGTAAGATCACATTTAAAATACACACATCTGGAAACAAGTGTTGTTTAAAATGGGTTCTGGGAAAGCCGTACATCCTTCATATATTCCTACACAGAGAACGGTGTCTCAGATGTGGAGAAAAACCACCTGATGGGTTTTTACCTGCAGAATTACAATGCCCACAGAGCACAAACGATACGCCATCACCCGTGCCCCAGAACACTCACACAAAACCCAGCAGCCTTGGGCTTCAGTTCTTAAAGGCTCCACATCTACTGGCTTTAGCAATGAATTCCTTTAGCAGAGGGCCATCCATTTGCCAAAATGCTGCAGTCTGTGTAACTTCTGTCAAATGATTGATGCAAAACTTAAAGCAGAATTCTTCTAAATCCTGGACACACACAACAAAAATAAAAACAAGAAGAGGCCTTTTTTTATTAACTTCAATTGAATTACTTCTCACCAAACCCCTCACCCCAAATCTCTCACCCTCCCCCGGAAAAGATATTTGAGGCTAGAAACTTCAAACTATGCAAACAAGTGACCACAAACAGGTGTCAGAAAAAGACGTACCATTTACTCAAGGCACAGTAAAAGCAATGGTTGCCCTACTTCAAATCTGACTCTTCTAAGCACACATACAGTCTAGAGGGGAAACGCTTCCTCATGGTTGTCACACAGTCATGCTCAAAGACATTGTTTTAAATAGCTGAAAGCAATTTTAGTCCATCTCAGGAAGTCAGAGAAAAGAATTAAGAAGTCACTCTCTGATTCAAGAAGTCAGAGGAAAGAACTAAGATGTGGGTTATTTCATTTAAGGAAGCAAAGACTTTAATACAGAAAAGTGAAGTGATGTGGTCTCCTTAAAGTAACACAATCAGAAAAAACCCCAGGACAACAAATTCACTTTCATGCTCTCCTAAATAAAAATGTCTTCACTATACAAACCACCAAGAGTAATACACTACAACTACCACCACACTAATTTCTCGATCCAGAAAATATTCACAAATGGGATTTTTCAGTCAAACAAATAGAAATCACCAACTACCAGCATTCAGAAGGAAAGTAAAGTATAAAGCGGTAAACCAGGGCTTAAAAATCTATTTCTGCCTATGCTAAAACACCCTTTCATTCCCAGCAAAACTCTACTATAATGCTGTTTTGTTCCTTCAAATGTTGGTACATATATTAAATCAATTAGATGCCTAGGACATATGCGAGGATTGAGGATACAAAAACAAAGGCCAAGTTGGCTGGCTAAACTGGTCCATACTTGGGGCTTTAACAAGCCAGAAACCCAGTGACATTTACACTAGGATCTGCTTGAAGTTTCTAGCCTTTTTGTTTCCAGCCACTATGAAATGTGGCAGAGTTGGGGTGGGGGAATACCCAAACATGTACACACAACCCTCTTCTGCTCTCTCAGTGCAGATCCCTGCAAACAAACCAACCCTTACTCTAAGAGTCCACCTATCCCTCACTGAAAGATAACTCTCTCAGTCTGGATACCTCTCTCAGTCTAGTGGGGTTTAACCAGTTAGATAGGTCCTATCCAATATGTGTCAGCCAGCTGCAGCCAGAATTTTGTTTTCTAGATAATCTGAACTGCATGTAAAATGTTGGCATAATCTCTAGAACCGTGTGTGTGTGTGTGTGTGTGTGTGTGTGTGTGTAAAATCTTCACTGTTGGTAAGAATCTTAGAGAAAGCCAGTTTGATTTTTCTCCCAGTGCAGTTCACTCTAAAGTGGATCATTATTTGTTTGTTTCTTGAGGTAACATTGCTTTACAACACTGTATATGATTTAGGAGAACATTTGTGTTTTCAGTAAGAGACTCCCAGAAGTCTGAATGTAGAGCTGAATGTCCTGTGTACTATAGTAAACTGTTAAACCCTTCTTTCATTAAAGAAAAAGCATTACCGTTGGTATCATAACTCAATGGTTAATAAATAGCTCTGAAGACTAAATTATATTCCACAGAGAAATAAAAGTCATATTTTAAACTGATTTATCAAAAATAGAAAACTGATTTATCTACATATAACTTAATACTGTTTTAGTTATATAATTTCAAGGGAAAAGAAGTGTGCTCTGAAGTAAGGCATTGTAAAACCTATTACTTCTATGTCTACTAATTTGGAATTCAAGAACTTTGTAGTATATATAAAAAGTTACTCAGTTAAATAACTATACAGATTACCTTGAGCATAAACTTCAAGAACTTTTTAAGTATATAGTCAAGTATACAATGGTGCTTCTAATTAAAAATCAGTTTACATTATCTATGAAAACAGTTCAATCAAATTGTCTTCCTTTCCCCTTCAATTCACTTGAGTTGGTGAGATTTCTTAGTAGACAACAAACGTTTATCAGTTTCAAACATTTAAAGTCTTAACCAGAGAATACTGTAAGTAATATACATCTGGACCGTTTCAGTAATGAAACTCTGGCAATCTATGGATAAGGAAGTACTGAATGCACATGGAGAGAGAATTAGAATTTGTAAGATCACTGACATGAATCAGAAAGCGGCACACTTCTCTTCCCTTAAAATTATATAACTAAAACAGTATTAAGTTGGGCCTCCCCGGTGGCGCAGCGGTTGAGCGCTGGGTTGCAAAGCTGCCCACAGCCTCTGTGGCGCAGGTTCGATCCCCGGCTGCTCCCTGGCCACCAGAGGAGGGTCCCACATGGCGCGCAGACCTCTCCTGCCGCCCGCTGCTCTCCTCAGTAGTGTACTTAGGTCCTTCTGCCTGCTCTGCTCCCCGCTCTGGCTCTGGTGAATTCTCTCACCCTCCCGCGTTTCTGACTGTACCCAGTGCATGTATAAATAAATAAATAAATCTTAAAAAAGAAAAAATCTTAGCCATTTAAAAAAAAGCTATACAAATAAAATAAAAAAATAAAAATAAAAATAAAACAGTATTAAGTTATATGTAGATAAATCAATTTTCTATTTTTGATAAATAAGTTTAAAATATGACTTTTATTTCCCTGTGGAATATAATTTAGTCTTCATGATTCACTGACATGAATCAGAAAGTGGCACAGCCAACCAGATTCACTTAGCAACCAATGCCCGGAGTCAATATGCCTTGGATATATAAATGAGATGAATATCCCTCTGATATTTCTTAAATACTATAAGAACCTAATGATCTATTCATCTCATTCTGCAAGTGATCAAATGGATCTTAAATTTCCTAGAAAAGAAAATACAACTCTAACCTAGTATGTCAACTATAAAAAGACGGCTGGACTTAAAAAAAAAAAAAAATTTCCATGGAGGATAAGGAGGATCTCCTCATATTTTTACCATGGAAGGTAAAAATACCAGCAGGTGAAAATAGCTCATAATAGAAAAAAGTCTTCTGAAGACTCTGGGAAGTAAGAAAGAAGTATAAATTCAAGGAGTCTAATTTGGTATTCTTGGTACTTGAGAAACTAAAGTGCATGTTTATGACAATTTGTGGTGAGATTACTTTATAGAGGTTCTGAGGAAAATAAAAGATCAGATTTACTATAATTAACAAGATCCAAATAAAAACTGCTTTTCTGACATAAGCTACAAAGTCATTCCAAATTTATTAATGTGTAAATTACTCTGATGAATATACATACACCAGAAGTAAGCTGTTTTTCCTTCCCACAAACTTTCTTTAGCAACAAAACAGAACAGAGAATTTATGGCCCTAATATCTATTTTACATTTTTAAATGTTTTGTAGCCTTTCATGGAGTACTTATCCAGTCCTAATGCTGAAATCACTAAATGCTGACTTCCTGTGGCAGGCGACTTGGCCAGAGTGGGACAGTGTGCTTTTGTGTTACAAGCCACCCTGGAGACAGTCTAGATGCAAGAGATTGTGAGTCAGATCTGTTGACATTTGTTGTTAAAAGAAATTTGAAAACAAAACCTGACAACCATAAATCTAGAATTCATTTTATTGTATATTAAGTACAAAAATAGTCCAGAGAAAAGTAAGTTTTGTTTCTATTTTTTAGAATATACATAAAAGCCTTATGTAGGAAAAAATAAAGATGCTTCCTCTCACAGTCCCATAAAAATTTTAGTCTACTGATCACGGAAAACTTCAAATGTCGGCCCTTAAAAAAAGAAAAACCCTACTGACTATCTGGCTTTAGCACTGGCATTCCCAACACTCGTATCTCAGATCAATCCCTGGGCTCATATTTTTTTGCTTCCCACCAAAAGCAAACATTTAAGACATTCATTGCTTAGTAAGTAAAGACTTTCTGTAAAGTTCTCTATTTTGGTTAAACAAGTAATATTCCAACTATTTCTGCTAATGTTCAAATGTACATAGAAAACAAAAATTTCCTGAAAACAGTACAAAAAGAAGCACTGCACAGCTTTTAAATCATGATACAGAACTGTCCTGAGACAATGTTTTATTCACATTTTCTCCCTGATAGCAACATTTATTTAGGCTTACACCAGAGAAATATTTACATGTACCTTCTCCAAGTCTTTCTTCCTTAAAACATGCAGAAAGTGGACAATGCATTCCTAATGCAAAGGCTCAAACCATCAGATTACTATTGAAAATCTTCACAACTACTGAGTCAATACATTTATGCTGTTTTTCTGTGTACATCTGTTTCAAAAACTTCTTGTCAAAAGAGGGTATGGAGAAACTGTAATAACTTTTGTAGAAGAAACATGAGAAGCAAGTGGGCTCCAGCTTCCTAACATTTTAACCCACAGATGAAGGAAAAGTCATCTATTTCCCAAGTTGAGCTTCGGAAAACAAGAGTTTTTACAGTCAATTTCCAACCTGACTTTGTAGATACAGTAGTTTTATTTTTATACTAGAAAGACTTCATTTATTAACTTATAACTACATCCTATAGCATCAAGGAAATAAAATGTAGAAGTACCACTGATCATTATATAATCTCCTTCCAAAAACAAAAAAGTATATAGTATGAAAGAAATTATTCTTTTTGTCATCTATATTCTAATTTTTCTACATTAAATGTGTAGTATCTGTGGAGTTGTCAGTTGCTTTTTCTTTTGCATTTTATACTTTTTAAAAATCATACCTCGGAAGAGTGGGGGAGGAAGGGGAACATTTTAAAAACAATAAAAAGTATACCGTTCTGGTGGGCTACTTCAAATATGTTTATTCATTCATTCATTCAACTCAACATACATTTTTGAGTGCAAACTATATGCCATACTGGACAGTCACATGCTCTTGTGGTCTCAAATAAAGGACAGTTTTTAATGAGAAAAATACTTAATACGAGGAAAATGAAAACTAGTACAGGGAGTAGCTGGCATGGGTAGAAATAGCATAAAACTCTTTCTGAGGTATATTTTAGCTGAAAGAAAGAAATTTTCAGCATCTAGGTCAGAAATATTTGCCTGTGTCAAGGTGGGTCTGACTGATTTTAGTAAGCAAGATTTTAACCCCAGGAATAAGGAACTCATTAGCAGTGAGGATGAGTCTGGAGAAAAACAGAAGATTCTAAAATCAATTAGTAAATGGAGAGAAAAGGCACTGACCAACTTAAAATTATATCATTGGGTATAAAATGAAAGCAGGAAATAGCATTTCTAATAAAGTTGTTCATGGTATCAAAGAAAGGGTATGGGGAAAAAAACCTATGCTTCCATTTCCTATTAAAAATGATCATCATTTCATCTGTTGAAGGAGCTGCAGAGAAAGTCAACTATATTTGACCTTATCAAATATTTATAATCCTAATCTCAAAAACAGGACACGTTTTTAAATACAAGACATGATAGTCATATCAAGCCCAAAGTGTGACGAAGATGACGTCTGTCCTCCACCACATCTCCAAGGCCATAAGCTGTAGATTTTCAGAGGTGTTTAATTTCCTGATATGCTGTCTCATACCTATAAGAACAGACTAATTATGCCATTTAACCTTAGCTAGACATCAGGAACTCCAAAACTACTGCTCTCTGTATTGTCTTTTCTATGAATTTATAAAATCCACCACACTGGTCTTTAGTTCACTATCCTTAATGCACCCTTCAAGTGGTACATTTATTCAGTTCAATAAACATATATCACCCAGTGCTTACTATACGCCATGTACTATAGGGTACAAAGACCAATAGGATACAGTTCCTGCCCATAAGGAGCTTACAATCTGATGCTATTTTGGTTCTTAACTTTAGGAAAGTGCATGTAAACACAAAATTTCATACTCCCAAAAGTCCAATCATTCATAGGCTCTCTAGAGAGGCACAATTTCCAGACTAAGAATTTAAGCCAGTGTAAAAAATAAAAAGGAGTCCAGAGCCAGTACACAAATTATGATGAGTTATAATTAGACAAAGATAGAATTTCAGAGCACAGATATACACATATATAAATCACACAGCATCCTCAGCCTATGGCAGGGTAGAGTTGGGGAGACAGTAAAGTGAGGTGTTGGAAAAAATATATGCTGACCTTGAGAATATTTGAAACTAAACTATGCTGTCTGTTAGTCTGGTTAGGTGTCGCTCTTTATATTCCAACCTGCAGCACAGCTGCTGAGACTTCAGTTAGTTTCTAATGTCAGTTAAAAATGCACGTAGAGGAACAACAAACTATGAACATAGGATAAAGAAGCAAGACCAGATTTCATTTTTTAAGGATCAGTCAGCTCATTGATTCCCTAAATAGCAGTGAAGTTGTCTCGTGTGAGAAAAAAAAGAGGAAAGCGCACACACAGGGCACTAAGGGCGATGGGTCTGGTTGTTCTTTTATGTTACCTCTGCATCATATCTGACCGCAGCAGAGAACAATGAAAAGGCATTCTCCACAGTGATCCCTCGCTTGATTATATGCTGACAAAGTTTCTTCAGTCTGTTTTCACAGTAAGACGTGGCCAAATCCAAAAGACCTAAAATTGAAAAGTATGGGAGGTTTAATTAAGATTACAATACTTTTTCACAATTTATAATGATATTTAATTTTAATGAACAGAGTCAAGTAGATCAGACAGAAGTTCCTTAGTGAATAATTCTCTGAATTTTATTAAATTCTTTTTACTCCCTTTCTTCCTTAACTGCCAAATATACTTTTACTATACTCATTTTACACAATGTTTTCTATAGTGCAAAGAAAGCAGAAAAGATGAAATCTTTGTCTCTATTTTGGTTCCAAATGATATGCTAAATTCATTAGCACCTTCTACTTCAGAATTAAAATAAGTCCACAATCATAAATAAACTGTGCTGGTAACTATTAACCATGGTAATGTCACAAAACAGTTTTTAGAGACATTTACTTCATGTCTTTTTTAAAAAGCGATGTAGGGCCTCCCTGGTGGTGCAGCGGTTGAGCGCTGGGTTGCAAAGCTGCCCGCAGCCTCTGCAGCACCGGTTCGATCCTCGGCTGCTCCCCGGCCACCAGAGGAGGGTCCCACATGGCGCGCACACCTCTCCTGCCGCCCGCTGCTCCCCTCAGCAGTGCACTTCGGTCCTTCTGCCTGCTCTGCTCCCCGCTCTGGCTCTGGTGGATTCTCTCACCCTCTCGCGCTTCTGACTGTACCCAGTGCTTGCATAAATAAATAAAAATACATCTTTAAAAAAAAAAAAAGTGATGTAAAAGCCAATAAACCTGAACCTTTTTATATTTCAACACCATTAAGAACATAAGGACATGTGGGTCCGACCATGTGATCTGACCAGCCCCAGTGTGGCCGAGGTACCTATAGCATCTTCGGGCGGCAGGTCAACAGAATCCGTGTAGAGATACTGGAGGAAGGCACGGTACACTGGGTAGGAGAACTGGTCTATTTCTATTACTTCCTTCATGTCTTCATTCCAGTAAGACTGGAACATAGATCGAAAGTGCTCACACCTAAGGCAGAGCAGCAAAAGTAACCTAATTAAGTTGATTAAATCAGATGAACAACTATTTGGCTGTCTTTCATCACCACACTTGCTCTGCGTGCACCGGGATAGGGAGTCTCCAGCCAGCACCCTGAGAACACTCCACGGGCAGGGGCACCGACAGTGCCTTTTACATACACTCACTTTCATTTTTGATGAGACCCTCCTCTTAAATATTAAAAATCAGACTGAGAGCCAAGGTGCACCAGCATGTCAGCAGTACCACTGCTTCCACCTGACTGGCTCCCATACAGATCAAATATTTGTAATCACTTGTTTTTTTTCCCCAAAGATACTGCACAGATATACGTTTTCAACTAAAATTAAAGGAAGTTCAGAAATGAGCACAAATTTTTAACTACACATTCATATCACCAAAATTATTCTTTTTGGACATGCCATAAGCACAGCTTTACAAGTATTTTACATGCGAACTGGGCTATGTTTAAGCTGACTGTGTTGTTCTATTACCACACACGATCATTGAGGATTGGGCTAGGTCAGCATTCCTGACTGAGAGTTTTATCTGGGGAAAATGAATCTTTAAGAGTAAAGGAGAATAGATATACTTTTTGCTGACAAAGTTTTGTATTTTTTGACCATGTAGACAAACTTTTTGATGGAAATAAGCATTTGTAAGATCCTTCATTTAAAAACAGTATAGACAAATACAAAACACAGATATCACATTAAGCCTTTTCAAGAAAACAATGAGTGCACACACAGACACGCAACACTCTTTAATTCTAAATGTACTGATACTATCCACAAAAATATTAAGTTGTGTTATTTCCCTCTACTTCTAAGGCTATTTCTTATCAGTCCCCACTTTGTAAACAAGTAAGATGATTGATGTCTCAAAGCTCATGCATATACCTGATTTTCAAGACAGCTTTATGGACATGAATATATTTCCCATCAATTCGAAATTTCAGGTCAGCAGTTTCTGGGCTATCAAACTCTTTCTTTAGTGACTCTGCAACTGTTATAAAGTCTTCATGCTCTAAAGGCAACAAACACATTATTAATATAGAAAACTCAGGAAACATATTCAAGATTTGAAAGACATCAAAAAAAAGAAAATTGTTAGCATAATTCCATTAGATTCTTTTAAAAAGAATTCATACCAGATTTGAAAAACCAATTTCACAATATTAAAATAGGCATCCTGCATTTGTAAACAACAAAATATATACATTTGGAAAGTAAAAAGCATGTCTTAAATGCTAAGTTAGACATTAAAATGTGTATTTCTTAAAAAAAGAAAAACTTGGGGGCCTCCCCTAGTGGTGCAGCGGTTGAGCACTGGACTGTGAAGCTGCCCGCAGCCTCTGCAGTGCCGTTTCGATCCCTGGCTGCCAGGCGAGGGTCCCACATGGCGCACAGACCTCTCCTGCCACGCCCACTGCTCCCCTCAGCAGTGTACTTCGGTCCTTCTGCCTGTTCTGCTCCCCGCTCTGGCTCTGGTCAATTCTCTCACCCTCCCACGCTTCTGACTGTACCCAGTGCTTGTATAAATAAATAAATAAATCTTTAAAAAAAAAAAGAAAAAGAAAAACTTGGGCCTCCCTGGTGGCACAGGCGGTTGAGCACAGTGAAGCTGTCTGCAGCCTCTGCAGTGCCGGTTTGATCCCCGCCAGCCGCGTAGTAACCCACATGGCGGGGCAGACCTTGCCTGTCTCACCCACTGCTCCCCTCAGCAGTGTCTTCGGTCCGCCTGGCTGTTCTGTTCCCCGTTCTTTCTCTGTGAATCCTCTCACCCTCCCGCACATCTGGCCTGTACCCCGGTTCTTGTATAAATAAAATAAATCTTTAAAAAAAATTATAGGGCGTCCACAATACTATAACAACTAGCTCAATGCTTTGAATGGTTCTCTTCTAGGGATAAGAATTTATCAGTTTTTGATTGAAATACTAAGAACACCTTTGCTCTCCTCTGGGATAGTTTCAAGGTGTTGATAAATTCAACTCAAGGAGTCTCAAAAAATAAACTCACCACTTACTGGTAATGCTAAGTCATGCTCTCACAGAGAAATCCTTTAACCTCTATATATGAAATGAAAACATTCTTCTTAAGCATAAAAATTAGTGTACAAACATGAATCCTTAAAAACAAAGCAAATTTGCTTAGTAACAATGTATATTCAGAGTGAACAAAAATATGCTCCATTGCCTGATAGATAAGGAGAATCACTATTATGATTATATGTAAGTAGAATTGTGTTATAAAGTAAAGGCACTTATAACAAATTCATACAACACTTTCTAGTACTTTATATATATATGGACAAAAGAAGCAGAAGGCTAATCAGAAATTTACAGATTCCAGAGATCCCCATCAGCACTGCATGCAGGGGCTAGGGACATAGGAGCAGGTTGTGACCACTCAGAAAATAAAAAAGGTGCTTTAGTCAGGGAATGAGCTGTGTCTCTCAGTCGCCTGGTGCTGCCAGGACAACTTTTAGAGGAGGGACAGCTGTAAAACCTAGACAGAAACTTAAGAAATGAACTAACTCCCTCTAAGTCTTACTATCAAAACCTCCAAGGAAACATCTTCCTAACCCCTATCACTATACCACAACCCTTGCTCGCCCAACAGGGCTGAGTTCTCATGTCTGTGGAGGAAAAGTGGATAATCTTCCAAAAATCAGGCTTTCTCTGACCCGGTAACCTATTGGCAAATACAAGAAAGGAGATGACTAACATGTTCAGAATGTCCAAGGGCTTAGATTGCTGTCCCACCTATCAAAAACCAACCAAAACAAAACAGCTTACGAGTACCTCGATTCAATATCTAGTCATAAGATATTGAATATCTGTCATAAAGATGAACAACTCTTCTGCATCTTGATTTCTGGCAACAAGTATAATACCTTCTTTTCAGGGAAGAAATATTCTTCAGAAGTGAGAATTTACCACCTGACTTTTTCTTAATACTCAGCTGAGATCATAAACTGGGAGGGGAAAAAAACATTTATTTCTGATTTTTAATTAGGTGTAAGGGAAAGAAGTTATCTAGGAGATATATACAAGAACCATTTTAATCTGAAATTTAATGTTTTTTAAAAGATTTATTTATTTATGCATAGAAGAGCTGGGGTGCAGGTCAGAGATGCAGGGCTTAAGAGGATTCATTAGAGACTGACTGGGGAGCAGTACAGGCAGATGAGCTGAAATCCACTGCTGAGGGGAGCAGCTGGTGAGACAGGAGAGGTCTGCTGCACCATGTAGGTCACCTCTCTGGCCGGGGATTGAACTCGTGCTGCAGTGGCGGCAGATAGCTTCATAGTGCTGTGTCTTATCCCCTTCTGCCACCAGGGAGGCCCCTCAAAGTTAATGTTTAAAATGTCAGGACATTTGTCCTAAGAAGGATGTCTTTTCAGGACTAGGGTTCTAAGATGCATGAACAGGTCCTTTATAAACAGGTCCATGTTAGCCATATATGGTAACCTGAGGGGTGCACAGGCTGCTGAGGTTGTGCACCTACATGTGTGGCATGGCCAAGTCATCCCATCCTATGACCTAATTTGTTTCTAATCAAAATATTCACCGTAAAAAAGGAGTATTATATAATAGTCAAGGAACCTGGGAACATTCAATCTTTGTTGCTTTACACTGAACAGCAGGGTAATGCTTCCTAGGCATACCCGAGTCCCAGAGACATAAAGACTGGTCACCGAGTGATGGGACAGTTCCAGCTGACACACTTGACATGTATTACAAAACTAGCTTTCCATATCAATTGCTGAACAACCCAAGTCTCTTGGTTGTCAAGAGTTACATTAATTCCCAAGCACAGGGCATCCTGACCCACTTATTCCCTCTGAATACAAATGAAAGAATAACTTAGCATACACTGGCAAAAGAGCAGAAATGAATTAAGAAATTTTTTAAAAGATTAAAGTCATCTTTTTAATGGCTACTCGTTTTTAAGACATCTTAACAATTTTGATGATTAATAGACTCTTGAAAATAACAATATTCAAATAAGGGACAGATTACATCATCCAAGATCATCCTGAATTCCACGACCGTTTATAATGACTCTGTTTTGATGTCCTTCTGAGGTATTTGAGATTGGTCAAAATAAAAAGAAAGTGGAATTAACATATCACCTTAAAAACTCTAAGTTCTGGGCCTCCCTGGTGGTGCAAGGGTTAAGCATAGCACTATAAACTATCTGCAGACCTCTCCTGTCTCGCCTGTGCTACTCCCCTCACACACACACACACCCCTCCCCCGAATGTCTGGCCTGAACCCCAGTTCTTGTATGCATAAATAAAAATACTATAAGTTCTTCACTTAAAGTTTATTTTTGGTTTATATGATATTGAATTATGTAATAAATTTAGTATAACAAAAACACTTAGGAACAGGTTACTCAAATATTTGTACATGAATGTTCATAACACTATTCATAATAGTCAAAAGGTAGAAGAAGCCATCCAAATGTCCAACAGATAAATGGATAAACAAAATGTGACATACGCATAAAATGGAATATTGGTCACTTGAAAAAAGGTAAAGTGCATAAAACATGAATGGATCTCAAAATGTAAGAAAATAAATACAAAAGGTTGCATATTGGATGATTCCACTTACAGGAAATACCCACAATAGGCAAATCCACAGAAACAAAAAGCAACTTTGTTGCCAGTGGTTGGGAGGGATGGAGAATGACCACTTAATGAGTACAGAGTTTTCTTTTAAGATGATGGAATGTTTTAGAACTTGATATAAATGTTGGTTGCCTAAATGCCCCAAAACAGATGAGTGGATGAAAAAGGTGTGGTATATATACTTACTCAGTGATGAAAAAAGATAAACTTATGCCATTATGGCACCATGGATGGAGCTAGAAGGGATTATGCTAAGGAAATCAGAAGGAGAAAGATAAATACCAATGGTTCCACTTACATGTGGAATATAGAGAAATCAAATAAAGAGTCAGACAAACTTTAAAACCAACTCTTGAAAACCGGCTGTTGATATTAGGTTTGGCGGGGGAGGGCGAGTGAGAAGGGAGAATATAAGGGCATGTGGGGAGAACACCATGGACACAATGGTGCTTTAGTGAGGGGACGGCCATGGTGACTACACCTGGGGCTCCTATTCTGTCAAAACTAGCAAGGTTGTGAAATAATGGCACTTCAAAAGCAATAAAAATAAATTTAAAAATATTGTACAGCACTGCAATGAACTAAATGTCTGAATTGAACACTTAAAATGGTTACTTTTATATATGTAAATTCACCTCAATTATAGTGAAAGCACTCAAGTAAGTCCATATATGATTTCATTACATATTAATAAACTGTATATATTATGCACATATAGCTTGGGGTAAAGTATAAGCGCTAATGGAAAAGAAAATATTCTAAAACTTAAAATAGCCCACATGGAGCAACATGCAAGAAAATTGGTCAGTGGATAGTAACAATGGGCACTCCGGAGTGGGAACAGCTCTGAGTTTTCTTACCCACAGACAGGAGGCGCCACGAGACGGCGGGGGTGGCAACACAGGCAAACACGTCGTCGGTGCAGGAGAAGTGGGTGAGGTGCGGCAGGATCACCGACTGGCCCCGGCACTGGCCCCACATGTACACGTGCCCACCCTGGGTCTTGGCAGCAGAGGTGTGGGCAGAGTGGCAGGCTGCAATCTCTACTACCCTAAAAAGTTTTAAGAAAATGCATGTTTTTTTTTATAGTTAAGAAAAAGTATGCTAAAATACAATATTTACCTTCTGTTTAAGAGAAGCCCACAGCACACCACACAAGGTAAATGTAAAGTTCATGCTTTGAGCACCTCAAAACACCACCCAAGATCCAGGGATATTAGCTGCCAGTGATGTGGACAAAACCAAAAGACCAGAGCAAGAGTTAAGTGTTTCTTCCTTCCTGGTTGACCTGCTTCTTATCCTAGCCTCATTCTGAGTTAGAATAAATAATGTACAGTGTTGAGGAAAACTTGGAAATGGGGAACTAGAAACCAAAGTAAATGCGGAAAGTGGGCACTGACAGTCCTTGAGAGTAGTAGAGAAATACTGCCTTTGCACACCATTTTCTTACAAATACAACTTATTCTGTCATTCCCTGCCACCAGAGTGGGGCTAGTCGCACTGGTCTAGGGGTCACAACTCAGACCATCCCAATCCAAATGGACATCAAGTCAAGCTGGCTATATTTCTCAGCATGTTTCTTAGGCAAGGGTCCAGAATCTAAAGTAAACACTCTAAAGCTTAGCGCATAAGACCACACAATGTGGCTGAGTGAACACCAAGCATCTATTCCAGTAATACACATTAAATTAAATCAATATTTAAACGGATAATATCCTTCCAAGAGCAGTTTCAAAAGAACTAAAATTGTTTTAGCTGGCTCAAAGGAAACATTTGTACTGCACTTTCAATTTTAAAATGGTGATTAAAAAAAAAATGGTGATAGACCCTATTTTACTTCCCTACTAAATGAGCAATAGGAAGTGTAGGAATTATGCTAAGATGCATCTATGCCTATCAATCACCAGGGGTTATTCTAGAAAATGACCTAAGAATCATATTAACTGCACGTTCATTCTGGCTGGTACTCAAACTCTTTTGTACAAAATGAGAATGTTAATAAACAGAAGAGTTACAAAGCCAAACACCAGAGCTCCAGCACACATGTCCCATGTCCACAAAGCACACACAATCCTGAAACACGGTACAGCCAAGTTACCTTTCTTTCTCCACCATGATTTGTGCTGGGCTTAGCAGGTTATTTTTATTGCCAGTTCCCAGCTGCCCATACGTGTTAGCTCCCCAGGCATAGAGCAAGCCCTCATCTGTTAGTGCGAGAGTGTGTGCATAGCCGCAGACAATCTGCAAGTAAATTTAAATGGTTACCACAAACGGGAAAACAGGAAGGGCAGGGAAAACATCTACTTAAAAGATTACAGCCAGCTTCTGCAGAATGCCAATTCACCAGCAGGTGTGGACTGACATTTTCTGGAACATTGAAAAAGCATTAGAAAAGGCTATACCTGAGACTCCTGGATTTTCTGATCACTTTATTAAAACTAATCAAGACTGCTTTGCCCCACCATGGTGCTCCTCTTTGTCATGGGGATTTAGGGAGGATATAATATTAGGTGTGGAAGATGGAAGCACTGGTATTGTTTAAAAAGATTTACTGAAGAGTAAACCGCCAATTATTTCTCCCAGTCAGAGCAAGGGAAACAGACGGAGACTGGAAGCTAAGAGTCCACCACACGTACCTGGTTCACACACACGCGGTGCAAAGCCGCCACTCTTATAGGGGTCAGCTGATTGCCATTGTTTCCCAAGCCAAGCTGACCATTGCCATTGTAACCCCAGCCATATACCTTAGAGAGAGAAAGGGAGAGAAGGGACTTTTACAAGGGCTAGTTTAAAGGAAAAAATTAAAATGCAGCCCATCTAGATAAATCAAGTACTTTTTCACTTCCAATACCTACACTTTAGCCTATGTGATGGAACCCAAAGATGTCCAACTGCAAGATGTTTTAGGGTGGGGGTGAGAGAATCTGGCATTAGTTCTTACTCCAAAACTTACTAGATGGACAGACGTGGGCAAATAACTAGTTCCTGTTTCATACACAAGGACACTGAGGGTCATTAATAATTATTAAGCACCTGCTAAATATCAAGACATTGTGAACAATATTTGCAACCTTTTTTTGGCGGCCATGTGACAAGGGAGATATGAGAGATATAATTATCAGGAGTAGAGTGGACTTAGCTATAGTAAGAAAACTCAGGAAACATTTCAGAAAGTGGAGATTTGGGGGCCTCCCTGGTGGTGCAAGGAGTTAAGACACAACCTATGAAGCTATCTGCAGCCACTGCAGCACGAGTTCGATCCCCAGCCAGGGAGATACCCATGTGGCGCGGCAGACCTCTTCTGACTTGCCCGCTACTCCCCTTAGCAGTATATTTCAGTCAGTCTGCCTGTTCTGTTCCCCACTCTGTCTCTGGTGAATCCTCTCACCCCCCACACCTCTGGCCAGTACCATAGCTCTTGTATGCGTAACTAAATAAATCTTTAGGAAAAAAAAAAAAGTGGAGATTTGAGCAGGGTGAAGGATGAATTGGGGTAAGCAACAGGCACAGAATGCATTGGAGGCAGGTTTGCTAATATCTGGGGTAGTAACTGGTGGCAGGGGGAAAATCTAGAAGGAAGGTAAGGTCCCTGGGGGATAAAATTAAAAAAAAAAAAAATCACCAGGGGAGGTAGAATGTACTTGTGCATCTCTCACTGAACTATTTCAAAACAGACATTAACATGATTAAGTTTGCATTTTGGAAAGATCAGGCTAGTGACATGAAGGGTGACTGAAGTGTATCAGATGAGAGGCAGGAAGACCATTAGTATATAATTTTATCCTTTGTCAACAAATAGGCGAGTTCTGGTTAGAGGTCATACCAAGGTAATGACAAAACAACAAGAGAGGGGAAAAGTTAAAGAGGGAGACAAGAGAACGTGGTGAAGATCCATTCAATGAGGGGTACTAGGGGAGCAGACAGAGGCAGAGCTGGGCATGAGGCTGGCAGAAGCGTTAACAGTTTAGAATGGCCAGTGTGGGGCATTGGAAAAACGCTGGCCAGGAATAGCCCAAAGGTCCAGCCCAAATGAGAAACACAAGATGTGTAGTGGCCTCATGCCCAATGGCAATGCAGGGCAAAGGGCATCAACTAAGAACCAGAGACACTCTATGGGTGGTGGGGGGCGGGGAGGGGAGGGATTAGGGTCAAAATAAGGGGATTGCAATTGTATGGGGAATATAAAAATAAAATTTATTTAAAAAAAAATAATGGAGAATTGAAGAATACTGGAATAGAGGGTATTAGATGATTATCCCAAGAAATTCTGAACTCATTCAGGATTATATCAGAACTGATTCAGAAAGTTAACTTGGCAAGCATTCAGTAAACTCTAACAGGCTCTAGCACCGCAATGCAAGGCACTAGATCTCTGTGTTCAAAGAAGCATCTTTGTGTAATTAACTTTTATGCACTAAGATATGCAAAGGTTGGAACAGATCCACTTAAATAGAAGTTGCAATCCGAATAATTTCATAGAAATTAGCATGAGCTCTAAAGTGACCTCAGTAGAGGGTAACTGAAAGATGGGTTGTTGTTTTTTAAGTAGCTAGTGAGCAGGACAAAAACTTATGCATTGACAAGTTGTTTCCTCTCCTCTGAGCAAACATTCCAGAAATATAGAGGTAAAGAAACTTCATGCCCATTAGAGTCAGGTCGGCTTATAAACATCATCAGCTAAGTCAGGGCCCTCAGTTGATTTATTTTCTTTGGAAGATCGAAAGGTAGCATCAAATGCTTTAGTCCATTAATTAAATCACATACAAATCTAGAAGCATTAGACTATTTGAATCTTGCCCTCCCCCCAAAAAGAAATTTAAATGCATCAGAATCTTTACTTATAGATAAATATTGGAATTTAAAAACTGATTCTGATGAACAAATACCCTCTGCTGACTGCTCTGTCAGTAAGCAGGGAACTATCAAAACAAAGCACCCATTCTTCCATGCATACCTCATGAAGAAAATTACATTTCATTGAAAGTGGAAGGGAAGGAGAAAGGAGAACACAGAGACAGCTCACCTCACCATTGTCCAGAACAGCCATGGACGACGTCTGACCACAAGCAATGCCAACTACCCTCTTAATATGTAAACAGTTTGTAACTTTTCGAGGAGTTGGTTGATTTGCTGTAGATCCTGATCCCACCTGGCCACAGTTGTTATATCCCCAAGCAAATACCTACACAAGAGAAGGGGAAAGGAAAAAGATCAATAGCAGTGAAAATGCTACCTATAGCACACAAAATAATCATAAAAGAAAAATAAACTCATTTAATGAGCATTTAGAATTGCTAAATGGCTCTACATACTTTATATGTATTAACCTACTTAATCCCCATAGTAATCCTGTAACGTAACACTAGCAAGATATTGTTACTAAACATTCCCACTGCAGGGCCTCCCTGGTGGCGCAGGATTTAAAGAAACAGCACTATCAAGCTATAGGCAGCCACTGCAGCATGAGTTCGATCCCCACTCAGGGAGCTAGCCATGTGGCACAGCAGACCCCTCCTGACTCGCCTGCTGCTCCCCTCAGCAGTGTATTTCAGTAGATCTGCCTGTTCTGCTCCTCGCTGTCTCTGGTGAATCCACTCACCCCCTGCACCTCTGGTCTAAACCCCCATTCTCATATGCACAAATAAATATATCTTTAAAAAAAAAAATCATTCCCGCTTCATATATAGAAATGGAAACACACAGAGGTTAAGTAACTTGTTTGAGGATCCACAGCTACTAAGTAGTAGGAGTGGAATCTGGACCCAAGCAGTGTAGCTATGCTCCTAGCCACTATGCAATACTGCCTCTATAATTATGGCAGATATACATATATAAATACATCTATATATACACACACATATATATTTGAGTGTATGTATATATTTAATCTGGCATCAACAGGAAATGAATTATATGCCATACAGGTATCGGTGATGTGAAAAACCTGTTTAACTCTTTAGGCACAAATACTCTTTTTTATCTCATGGAAATCTTCTGAAGCTATGCAAGGTGTTTTCTTTTCTCACTAATCACCAATATCAGATATTACATAACCTTTTCTGATGACTCAGGACCATCATTATAATTGCCAACTGTAGCTCCACATCATGATGCAGTAGCGCTCACAAGTACTAAAGAGATGCTCATCCCTACAGAAGCGACACCAGGTTGCTAAGGCTATTCTTGGCAATATTTTCTCTGAGCTCTCATTTGTCAGCTTCAAGCAGTTCTCCTCAACTGCATCTCACTTACTTCTGGCCTGTGATATCTCTCTGACCTGAAAACCAAGTATCTAAGGAATAGAGGCACAAACAGATGTCCAAGCTAGCTAAAATCTAGTAACAGTGAAGAAAAACAAACCAAAAATCACCTCAAGTGAATTATCAACTGAGCCTATCAAAAAGGAGTGTGACCAGAAAGAAGAATTAGGGGAGAGGGGGATGTTGGCAGTAAATAACTTCCTCCAACACTGCGATTATTTCTGAGGACCCCTCTTTCACTTGCCTGCAAGAAGCGGTGCTCACATAGCCTGAGTTGTCACTCCACAGTTCTTTCTTTTGTCACTACTTTTTGTCTAAATTCACATGTCTGATGCTGCCCAGGGCAACAACAGTAAAACCCACTGCAATGTCTTAAAATAATACGTGCTACAGGTTCACTTCACAGCTACACAGGAAACAACCTGCAACACTTCCTAAAAGTGGGCTCACGGGAATAGCACCTATAATAATGCAAATATTTACACAATTATCCAAAGTAGCATATGCTTAACGTCAAACTAAACCAGGAATACCTGCTGTACAAACTAGTGAGTTCTATCCAATCATTTTTCTGTTCTTCTCAAATATCCCAAGTTTCCCTGCAATGCACCTGCCTTTTATTTTTAAAATGGAAGTTGTGATTCCACTAGCCAAGGAAAAAAACTAGGAAATTTGGATTCCAGGGCATAAGGCCAATAGGCAAGACCTATTCCAGCACATCACAGCCATACAACTAAGTTTTCTGGCCACTTTATTCATAACCTGTCCTATTTAGTGAAATCACTGTAACACTACTGAAGGGCTTTAAACAGGAAACGATATGACTGAATCTGTGTTTTAGAAATCACGGGAGTACAGAAAAGTAAGATTGAAGAGGTAGGGCAATGAAAAAGCTATGGAATAAATATGGCAAGAGCCCAGCAGGTGACAAAGCTGACCGAAGGTTATGGCGACAAAGAAGGAAAAAATGATACAGGAGATAAAGAAGGTAAAATCAATAGGATGGCAATGTTTTGTTTTGGCTTGATTTTTTTTAAGATTTTTTTATTCATGCATACAAGAACTGGGGTATAGGCCAGATGTGCAGGAGGGTGAGAGGATTCACCAGAGACAGAGGGGGAACAGAACAGGCAGACTGACTGAAATACACTGCTGAGGGGAGACAGGAGAGGTCTGTCTTGCCATGTGGGTTATCTCCGCAGCTGGCTGGGATCAAACCCGCACTGCAGAGGCTGCGGGCAGCTTCACAGAACTGTGCTCAACCACCCGCGCCACCAGGGAGGCCCGGATGGCAATGTTTGAGCTCAGCAATGAACCTGGGTATGAACAAATGGAACAGCACCTACTAGAATGTTGGTAAAATTATTTTCCATGACATAATTACATTTACTGAAAAACAAAACAGACCTTAAGGAAGGGGATTATAAATTTAATAAAGGAAAGAAAACTGTCATACTCTTACAAGTTCGAATATAGTCATTTTATTTTTTAAAGCAAGGCATTTTCATAAGAGCCAAAAAGTATAAACAAGCTAAATATCTAATGGAAGATAAATGGATAAGCAAAATGTGGTATGTTCATAAAACAGAGTATTATTATTCCGCCTTAAAAAGTAAGGAAATTCTGACACATGCTACAACATGGGTGAACCCTGAAGACAGGATCCTCAGTGAAAATCCTGTCACAGGAAGATAGATACTGTATGATTCCACTCAAACGGCAGACCAGAATGGTCAAATTCATAGGGACAAAAAGTAAAATGGTGGTTGCTGAGGGCTGGGGAAGCAAGAAACGGTGACTTCTTGTTAAAGGGGTACACATTTTCAGTTTTGTAAAATAAGAGGCGTTCTATGGGTAGATAGTGGTGGTGGTGATGGCACAACAAAGTGAATGTACTTAACATCACTGAGCTGTATGCTTATAAATAGTTAAGATGTAAATTTTATATAATGTGTATGTTACCACAGTTTAAAAGGAAAGAGTAGAAACAGTGAGCTTACCTCTCCATCAGATGCCAGGGCCATTGAATGATGTGAGCCACAAGCCACTTCAACCACTTGCTTGATCAAGAGATTGGTGCAGACTTGAACGGGAACAGTGCCTTGGTTGGTCGTCCCATTCCCAAGTTGGCTATATCCATTGTGGCCCCACGCGTAAACAACTCCATCTACAGATGGGGTCACACACAACAAATCAGCTCCAAGAAGAAATGGTTACCCCTGTATTTTCTTCCCCAAATTTTGTGCAACTACAATAATTCTCCACCTTAATTTCTTTTATATTGCCCCCCCCTCCCTATAAAGTTACCTCTGATGGAGGAGAAGAAAGGAATGCATAAGAAAAAAGTAGACAGATGCAAAATCATTTAAAAAAAGGATTTGGTTTTAATGCAGAAAGATCAGCTTTATGCTCAGAAGTCTGTTTATATATAGAAAAATAAACCTTCTAAACACTGATTCATCTTAATAGTTTCCATGTAAGTTATCCAGAAAAAGTCAGAAGACACAGGAAAGCTTGACACTAATCTTTACCATCACTTCACTAAATACCAAGTTTCAGGGAACCCTTGGGTTGTGTGTCATAAGCTTGCAAAGTTCAGAGGAAAGAGGTTATACGATTGTACGTACTATTGGGTTGTCGGAAAAGTCATGACATTTTTTCCCCCATGTTTTTCAAGCAAAAATGCATCATCATGACTTTTCTGACAACCCAATGTGTACAAAAATTACAGTTTCTTTCAAGAAGACTAATTATTAGCATAAAAAATCTGGCTGATTTTTTAAAATATTTTTAATGATATTATCTTTTGAGAATTGGGAATAAAGATAACTTTTCTGTTTTGTGTCCTCTCAGGAAGTATGATTTCATGCATTTTTATTAAGGGCAGATATTCCTAAGTTATACACACTTCTCATGTCTGTCCCACAGTAATAAAACTTCCTAGGTTACTAAGGATGATCTAGACCTGGCAACAATGATATCCATGAGCAACAGCAGAAATTCAAGTGTTACTGTCTGGCTGCTGGTTCTGACATTCATCTCCAAGCAACCAGGGAAAGGTACTCATATTTACGCATGTCTCTAATAACCTGCTCAAGAATGACTACAACCAAGGGGTGTACAAAGTAGATCTAAAGAACCTCTGATGTGTGTCTCAGTTTTCCCTATTACAGAAATTATGACAGAAAACATAAATGGAACATTTTATCAAACAAAGGATGAGGCTCAAGACTAAAAGTATAAAAAGATAAAAAGGTTCACAGTATTATGTTAAAGTTATATCAGAAGATAAAAATGTCCAACGAGAAATGTAGTAACTCCTGAAAGGCAGAAAAATAATCTTGAACAGATAGAAATATATACCTTGTTATTAGGTAGAAATGCTCAGTATCATAAATATGCTTGTTTTTCCTAAGTAAATTTATAAATGTAAAATAATGGAAATAAAATGCTTTGAGTTACTTTCCAGAGCTGAAAAATTAATTAGAAAGTCCACTGGGAAGAATAAGCAAAAATAAACATAAAACCCTGAAAAAAAAAAAAGCAGCAAGAAGATAGCCAACTCAAACAGTTACTAAAACCTACAGAAAGTTTCTCAAGATTAATATTAGGACATAAGCAGAATGACCAACCAATGGCATGGAATTCAAACGTTTAGAAATAGACCAATTGCATATGGAACTAAAAGCCATATCAGATAGGGGAAAATTAACTTTTTACAAGTTAGGGTGATATAAGCAGGTAATCACAATGAAAGATTAGACTTATTCCTACAACCACACACCATGAAAATATCCCAATGAATCAGAAATTTTAACATAAAAAAAAAAAACAACTGTGTGAGGACTAGAAGGAAAACACTAATGAATTCCTCTTTAACCTGAGAATAACAGACTATGACTCAAAATTCAGGAATGATATTTTTAAGAGTGTGATAAATCTAGTCACATTAAAAAAAAAAAAAAGTTTACATGGAAAACGAAAATGCCGTGAGCAAAGAAAAAAATTAAATACTGGGGGAAAAAATCCTTGCAAATTGCTGAATTTATCTCTAGTATAGAAAGAATTTCTAAACTATAAAAGAGCAAGAATCCTATAGAAATATGAATTGATAATTCACGAAGGAACTGCATATTGCTCTAAACCATATGAACAGATGCTCATTCTCATTCACAACTAAAAAAAAAAAAAGAGATGGCATAAGACTGGGCTTGTGCTCATCAAGGTTGACCTAGCTGCTACTGTTGCCAACTGCTCAAAATGCCAGTACCAGACCAAGGCAGAAACCTCAATGCAGCACTGACCAAACAAGCCTTAAAGAGAGCAACGAGGCACCGGGCAGCAAGCCAGCTACAGTCGGGGCATCTGTGCTTCCTGTTCTTGCAAGTGTAGGTCTTGTAGGTATAGAAGTCCTGGTTCCCTAAGGAACAAGAATCACACTGAACTTTAGGTTATTGCTGCCTCTATTTAGAGGACCAACAGGAAAAGAGAGTAGTCAACCTCCTGGCAGAGCAACTGACCCCAATGACCCAATCAGCATGAAGAGGCAGGACCACTGTTATATAATGGGGGCAGCTTGGGGTATGTTTGGCATAGAGGCTGACATCTGATCATCTTTTACGCACACTTGCTCACTAGAGAGTAAAGAGATACATCAGTGATGGGCAGAGCACAGCATGGTCAGGGACTCACACCCCTCAAGGATGGAAATCTGGGTCACCCAATCATGTAAGCCACCTGAGCCAGGTGCTAGCCTAATGTAAACGAGATCCAGAAGAGATCCTAGAGAAAGGAGGTGATAAGTATGTATGAGTGCATGAGATGAGCAGAAGTACAGAGGCGATAGTCTATCCCACTATTGATGTTCTCACAAGTTTTCTCTAGAAAAAACCCACCAGAATCCTGGAGGAGTGATACTCAAAATATTAGATGTGGCTCTGTGTGGTGCATGGGAGAAAAGGCTATGCTGGGTCACCCAGACAATCCTCAGGATAAGACACGCATTCCCAAGATGCTGGGAGTACGGCAGCTGCCCATTCTCAGCTATGGGTCCTCTTGGATTTGCCCTTGGCAATCACTTTCTTGTTAATATGACGTTAACATTTACTATTTGTAAAACTGTATATATACATCTTTCTTCCCCTTTTACTTGCTGAAGCCTAGGAAAAGTGAACTTCTTCATTAAATGGTTCTTAGTCCCAGTTCCTGGGGAACCCTTAAAGCAATCCAATGGAACTACACACCAGCATCCACTACCCAAGCCTGTTCTTGCCACACAGTTTCTAACGGACAAAAGATGAAATGTCAGGATGACTTGAGGATTAAGAGGTAAGAAAAATTACATAAGGATGTGACAGTGAAACAATACCAGGCAAGAAGCTGATGCAAGGGATTGGGGAAAAAAGATCACAGTGGGAGGTAAGGAAGCATGCCATGAATTTGTGATCTTCAAGGAAACTCAGTTTAGCCTTCAGAGATTGGAAGTCAGCAGGCTCTTCCTTCACAGAGAAAACTATCTAAAGAGGTCCTAAAAGTAGCAGTGAGGACTATAGTTCAGATGCTTTCTACTCAGATGCTATATGATCTGGAAAAAAAAAAAAAAAAAAAATCCTAGGTCAGCACACTGGAGGAATCCACTCTACAGAAATTCATATACTGACAATGGGAACATCCCTAACAAAACAGTTACTCTCTCCCTAAAGTGAAGCCCAAGACATTTAATGAGTCCCAACCATGATCACAGATTTCCAAATATATTTATTAGTGCCTGGCTCTTACCTGGTGAATAGCCAGCCATTAAAATAAGTCTCAGGCCTCCCTGGTGGCGCAAGGGGTTAAGCACCGCACTACGAAGCAATCCGCAGCCTATGCAGCATGAGTTCGATCCCCGGCCAGGCAGGGATCAACCCACATGGCGCAGCAGACCTCTCCTGACTCGCCCGCTGCTCCCCTCAGCAGTGTACTTAGGTCAATCTGCCTGTTCTGTTCCCCACTCTGTCTCTGGTGAATCCTCTCACCCCTCCCCCCCCCACCCCGCATCTCTGGCCTATATCCCAGCTCTTATATGCATAAATAAACAAATCTTTAAAAAAAAAAAAAAGTCTCTAACTTGAAAATTAGAGAAATAAGAAATTTAGGAGGAAAAAAGAGAAACAATGCAGAGAACATAACAGAACTTAAAGAAAAACCTGTAAGATCTGGAGGTTCTAGCAGAAGAGCACAGCTACTTCCTTATCCCTGGCAGATCACACCTGTTTCTATTCCAGAGGCACATGGAAGGGGGGAGGAAGGGGACACCCACCTAGCCAGCCAGATCAGTCCAATCAACTCCATGATCACTGGGGTACTAGATATTGCAACCAGACTGCCTTTGTCTCCAAAATAACCTACCATTATCACAGCCTCAAGGAGACGGGAATGAATCCATGAAACAACACCAAGAGGCTGCAGAAAGGAACATTTAGAGAAGAGAACTTGGATACACAACAGCAGGAACACAGAAATTTGACGTAAGGGTTTTTAAGAGAAAGCTGAATAAATTTCCCAGAAGTAGATAAAGAGAAAAAAATATAAAGAAACTAGGAAGATCTGTCCAAAAATGAGCATACTTCTGAGAAAAATCCCAAAACGAGAACAGAGAAGGTAAAAGGGGGAATTATCCATACAACATTACAAGAAATTTTCTAGAAACAAAGAAACTTCTGGACTTGAGGACCAATAGGATAAATAAGAAATTACCTATATCTGAGTTCATAACCATGATTATTTCAAAATACTTGGAATAAAGAGAAGGCCCATAACACTTTCAAAGAAAAAAAGTCATGCAAAAAAGCAAATGTCAAAATGGCACCAGACTTGCAATAGCAATCATGAAATTTAAAAAGTACAATGCCTTCCAAATTCTCAGGAAATATTATTTCCAATAAGGAATTTTAAAGTCCAAACCATTGATCAATTGCAAGGGGAAAAAAAGACATTTTAGATGGGGTTTCACAGATTCTGTCAGATACCCTTCCTTGGGAAACTAGTAGAGTACATGTTTCACACAAATAAGGACATAATCTAAGGAGGAAGGTGTAGGATAAAAAAAAATAGGGAATCCAAACCACTATGGAGAGCTGTGTGGAGATTCGTCAACCTACTAAAGATAGAGCTTCCATATGATCC